CTTTCCTATATTTTATAACTAAAATATCTTGCACTGAAAACATAATGCAGCTGTTCCTCTGTTCCAGAACATAATTGTTATTCCATAACAGAAGTTATGATAGAAGATAGGTGGAAAACAAATGGAAGATAACTCTTAAATGAAAGATAATTTTCTAGATCTGTTATAAAATTTTGTGAATAAAATAGACCTTGTTTGAACCAATCACTAGCACAATCTATATTAGTCAGACTATGGCTTTTAATAGTTTTTTGGAACATTTATAAATTTCTAGCTAAGTTTGTCACAGAGGAAGACACCTATATCTGTCTCTAGTTCTTTCATCTACTCTCCCAGCCCCCACCCACTCAACAAGCACATACTTGAGGCTCATTCTCATCTCTTCCTAACTGCAACATGAAGATGTCCTGATAACCATTTGTGAAGGACATATCTGCATGACACTGCCTTTGTCTCATCCCAGCCCACCATAGAAGGAGTTTAAATGTCTTTAGCTTTTCCAGTTTACATGTAATGTTCTCTATTCCATATGTCTTCCATTGGTCATGATCTATGTCATTTTATGGACAACGCAGAAGATGATGTGGTCAGAGGCTAGGATTTACTCAGATCTTATTAGGTTCTCCGAGTTTCTATAGTTCTTGAGCATTATTTTCCAGGGCTATTCTGCTTCTGGCTGTTTCAACGTGAATTATCCTTTGTACCTGCTCTCTTCTGATCACATAATTCAGCTACGTGGAATTGAAGACCTAGCAAATAAAGATCCATTTCTCCTTGCTTCTCCTTCTATCCCACCTAAGGTAGTGCTGACAGCTGATCTCCAGGCTGGGGTATCTAGAGAAGCAGGAGATGGGAACTGACCCCTGTCCATTAGCTCTCTGACTGCACAGGGCTGATCTGTGGGATCAGCACTGCTAGTGGTTAAAGAGTCATATCTCCTTCAGCTAACTTGAAAAGTATGTAGGAAATGCTATGGCAGGAGGAAGCAATCCATTATAGAAAAGCAACAGAAAGCAAGCAATCCATTACAGAAAAGAAGTACAGGATTTAAGCCTTGGAGAATATATATCCAGAGAACCAAATTCTTAGCTTTTTGCTCTTCGTTATAACCCAGGTTATCTTTAAGTGCAATGAAGTATTTTGTCTACCTAAGTCAACTTGTCTACTTCTTGTCTTCTGGTAAGAACATTGAATTCCAGCGAAAATTATTTCAGGGGCCTCTGGGCAATGTGAGAATAGATTCCCATACTGATAAGGAAACTGGTAACTAATGTGTAAACATTATCCAGGTGCAGGCCAGCTCACATTCCCCCTCAACAGAAAGTGTGAGAAAAACAGGTAGAAATGAATTGTGCTTTGAAATATGTCTTACATTTGAAAACAAAAGTTCTGGATAGAATTCTTAGGCTCTCATCTTAAATATTTTTTTCTTCACAACGGAGCCTGTTTCCAGTCTTGCCTATAGTTAAAGAGTTCTGACAGGTGTCCCTGAACAACTAGGGCTATTTGTGATGAAGGGGAATCTCTCCTGTTCTCACACAGTGACTTAAGAGCTGTTGGCGCTGCTTTTCATGAATCTAGCACTGGCAGCCTCCACTCCCATATGAAAGACTGGACAGAAAGGCTACCCAATGAAGTGGGGGAGCTTTTCTCAGTTTATTGGAAACCCCAATCAACTGATCACTGGACTATCTTAAACAGGAAGCCTCCATCTATAGATCAGCTGACTGGCAGGTCTGCAAGACAAAGGCAATGCCAGAAAGTCTTCTTTTTTTCCCCCCCAGAAAGTCCAGTCTGCAGAACAGCAGACTTGATACCATCTTTTAGCAGATGGTTAAATCTTTATGTCTATCCATCTTCAAGCTTGGCTCCTCCAGCTCCAGCCCAACCTTTTATTAGGGACAGCAGCTGGTAAATGCAGTGAGAGGGGAAATAAAAACGGGGAAATTCACCAATTTTTTTTTTCTAATTAGTCCCACATCCAATTTGTAAGGATAGATAAATATATCAGGACAACACCAGTCCCTGGTCTCATCACCGAGGGTGAATAGGACGAGAACAGTCAAGGAAGAGCAGTTTGCACCATCATATTTCTCTTCCACCTTAGACAGGAAGAAAGTGCTTTAATGTGGCTGTGAGAAAGAGCCTTTTAAAATATCTTATTCGAGCAATCAAAATGCTAGGCTATATGTTCTTTTAGTAATCTGGGGAAGGGGACAAATTGACTTCTAAAAGTTCACTTGTAAGATTCCCTGCCTTCATGTTACTATTTGAATATTCAGCATATGTTTTAATACTGTACGGCCTAAATATTCTCAAACTGAGAAGTTATATTTGTGTTACCCACCCCATATATGTTAAACTTTTAGCTCTCTAGAGATAAGAGGAATGCACTCAAATTATGCAGACCAAAAATCAACAGTCTAAAGAGGATAGTAATGTACCAGAAAGACATGACCACAGGCTACTGTAATACCTTTGAGTCTATAGCTAACATTTCACCAAAGAAAACAAACAAAAAACAAGACTTGGATATTTCATTTATCTGTATTTCAGAGCTCTGAAACTTAGCTAGTTTAGTCACAGTACGTATAGTTCACATTTCCGCAGTTACATGCAACGATATAATTGCGATATTTGGAACTTGTTTGCACTGTGAGATTCTATTTTTTTCTGCAGCTTTTCTACAATAAATCTGCTTTACACACAGGAACTGTGAATGTTCTACTTCCCATTGCAAGTATTTCAAGTCCTTTGGGCTAATCATAGGCTTTAGAAAACTTATAAACAGCAATTGCAACTGATCTCAACCTGTTTCAATCCACATCTGAACATATTCTAGTTTCAGGTCAAGAATCAGTACTGGAACTACCTTTATCATCCTCATGGGTGACCTTCTCTAGAGGAAAAGTGGAGAGTACAACTTATTGATCCTTCTGGATATTGTTTGAATCCTTCCACCATGGTATGCTGCTAAGTTGGGCTGGACTAGGAGGCATGGTTTCTCTTTATATAGCCACACTAGAAGTCTTCCACTTGACCTGTTGCTGGGCTGGGGTATCCTACAGGATCCATTAAATCACCCTTATTGTTTAACATGTATATGGAACAGTTGTGAGATAATTAGAATATAGGGTGTTCTATTCATGCTGTTAGTCAGGCGAGGCTAATGGATCAATGTCTGCATGATGTAAAAAGCTGGATGAAGGCCACTAAAGTGAAGATGAATCTTAACACGATGAAGACATGGAGGATTGATGATTTGGCACACAATAGGAAGGAAGGAAGTCCAAGGGCAATAGCATATCCATAAGGAACTTACAGAAGCTCCTAAGCCAAGTTTTATGATGGCATGAATTATTATTTGAATGTAGTCCATCTGGCATCTATTCACAATTTGTCAACAATCACAATTATACAGGTGAACTGTCTCTTACCAAACATTAACCAGTTCAAAACAATAGTGTAGTATGCGTCACTAAGAAATCTCAGCAATTTCACATGTAGAAATTACCTCCTGACCCTTTTCTAAACTAAGCCCTGCAAATTATCCAATGCACTGACCAGCACTGTCAATGAACACAACTAACGTAATGAATACAATTATCTTAATGAGCACAAATATCTCAATTAAAAATTAATTTTTCTGTCTTTGTGAAATAGATTTAATGATTGTTTCTTTTCTAATTTTATCACAGGATCATTAATGTACACCTTAGGAACATCCCAACTGGCACAGATCAGAGACAGATATTTTCTTGCTCCAGTGATCTTCTCTTTTATGGTTGACTGGAACTGAGCAGTGCCCTTGTCAAATGAGACAGACAGATAGAAGACAGACAGACGGATAGACAAATAGAAGACATGGCACTATACTTGTTCACTCCCATTTAGGTGACTCTGATAGTGGGAATTGTTGACAATGCTGAGGCTAGTCTGAAGTAGAGGGCTGGACCATTGCTGGCATTCAAAAATGTCACTTTGTGCTGTACCACAAGGCACACAAGCCTTGGGGATTGGCATGATTGCCTCTGCAGCCCAGCACTCCCCAGGATCTGCCACTTACCTTCAGGTGGTGCTCTTTCTGTTGACAGGCCCCTGTGGCCTACCCAAGGCTGCTCTGGGTCACACAAGGCCTTTGCTCTTGAATGGCTTTGGAGAATGTTCTTTTGTGATCTCTGCAGCCTCAAAGAAAATGCATGAAAACACACCCCATTCTTGTATGATTTTTGGAGGCTGCAGAAGCTGCACAAAAAATACCTCATTCTTGCATGGCCTCAGAGGCCTCCAAAAATTATGTGGGAACAAGTGTGCTTTTGAGAATAGTTGTTGTTTGGTATTGGTAAACTCTGGTGTGTCAGCCAAAACGCTGTGGCATATCACTTTGACACATGTCCTAAGTTCGTCATCACTAGGATATATAAACCATAGAGATAGTTTCCTCTCTCAATTTCTCTTGCAGGTTTTTTTGTTGTTGGTTTCATTCTAACAGCTGCATTTACTTTGTCACTATAAGACTTTTTTTCAGTGAATACATTTATAATAGTAAACTCTGTCACCTGTGGTTTAAAAATGATCATAAAATACATGCTTAATAAGCCGTAAGAGAAACACACAGAGCATACATTAATGTTTCTTCTCATATTCCTCTCCATAGAAAATATGGATGAATGAAATTAATAATAAGCAATTTTAAAAAGAGCATTTTAAAATAGCAATAACACTTAGACTTTTATACTGTCCCATAATGCTTTGCAACACTCTCTGAGCGATTTACAACATCAGTATATTGTCCACAAGAATCTGGGTCCCCATTTTACCGATCTTGGAAAGATGGAAGACCAAATCAACCTTGAACCCCATCAGGATTGAATTCCAGACTGTGGGCAGAGTTCACCTGCAATACTTCAATCACTGCGCCACCAGGGTTGGTTTCCAAATGCAGAGCATTTAGTCAGTAGAAAGCGCTTAATTTTTAACAGACTTCATAAGTACTGTACCTGTTTTGGTCAATGGGCTTGAAAAAAGCTGCTGAAGAAGTTTGTTCTCTGAAGTCCTCAATACCACCATTATGTCAGCAGGAAGGGTGTCTCTGTTCTTCTCAAGGAAGCCATAAGCATCATACTGAACCTATACAATGTGGGAGTTAAATGTGAAACAGGCTCTTATAAGTTTCTGTCACCTCTGGTACTTTAAGTAAAGGTTGGGAAACTTCCCCCTCTAATGCCCTGTGTAGTGCTTCATCACCCATATATATATTTATATCTAATTATTTTCATATGCACACACAACTATTTTCCCTCTTTAGCAATCTCAGTACCACTTGCTACACAAGAAGAGTTAAACTTTTCTGCTTCCCACTCTCTTTGCCTCTTGTTTTTCTCCTGAATGTTAACTGTTGCAGCCACTGCTGATTTTGCAGGCTTTGTTTCTGGATGATTTACCAGACACAGAGACCTTCCAATATAGACTGGTACAAAACGCTCTAATAACTGAATTTTTCAAGATTTTGTTTTCAAAAAATAGTCTGTTCCTTGTAAACCCTGGCAACCATAAAGTAAGGAGCCAGCAGGAGATGCTTTGACTTCTGCACTGAGAAAATTGTGGTCTTCAGCCTTAAACAAACAAGGCATTTCATGAAATTGGTAGTGATAGGAATAGTTGCAATTCCAAGGAAAGGACCAGCAACACTATAGGCTGCACCTATGGCTGTACCATCATATTTTAAATCAAGAATTAGGATCAATGCCCTGCCAAATGGATTTAAGACAACTGAAGTTCATTGTACCTTCTGACTCAGTTCTATTGGTCATCATGTGCCATCAAATACCATGGGTTGTAAAACAGTTTCCAAATTTTAAAATGTAAATTCATTAAAAGCATTAATTAAGGAATAAAAAACTGAAAGTTGTTTAAGGAAAATCTAAGGACTTGATAATTTATTACATTTAAATTTAATATAAGTTATGTATTTACCTTTCCAGCATAATGATGAATGCCAAAACAGAGCTCCACTCGTTTGGGTCTCCAGAAATATTTGCACCGCAGATTATCTTCAAATTTATCTATGCATTTTTAAAAAAGAAAACAATATTAATGGCCCATTCTTTTGATGGCCGCAAGGACAAATCTTTTCACACTGGAAAATAGATAAGATGCTGATGATATCAGATTGGGAAACCAAACTCGAAGAATACACAGCAATGGCAAAACTAAAAATTTAGTTAAAAATGGAAATTTAACTAAAGTCAAGCAAGAATGATTTCCCTCATATATTACTCAGCAAGGCAAATTCAGATATTTCTTTCAAATGGGAAAGAAACCAAAACCGAAAAAAGGAATAAAATAAATAGAAATCAGAAACAATTCTTAAGGTTTAAAATATGTATATTGCAATTATCAGGGCACAATGGAAGGGAAATGTATAACTTGTAATCAAGTAGTATCTTAGTAAAGTTTTAACTTATTTTTTCTTCTTCTTTTGTATACTAATAGCCACTTTTCTTCTCTATTTCTATGTAATCATTACATAGACTAGAACCATTTAGAAATTAGTATTTACTTTCTAAATAGGAAATTTGGACATTCTAGAGACTTAGAAGACTGGCAAAAACTTTGGGATAAAAACATTAAACTTACTAAAGCAATAACATATAAAGAAAATTTATATAAGATGTTTTATAGATGGCATGTGACACCAGTTCGATTAGCGAAAATGTTTAAAAATGTGTTGAATACTTGCTGGAAATGTAAACAAAAACCAGGCACTTACTATCATGCCTGGTGGATATGCCCTAATGCAAAGAAATATTGGCTTAAGATTCATAGATAGCTGGAAAAGATGATGAAAATACAGATAGAATTTAAACCGGAATTGTTTTTGCTAGGAATAGTAAAATCTAATTTTACTATTTAATACTACATGTATTAACTATTTAATACTACATGTATTAACAGCTGCAAGAATAGTATTTGCCCAATTTTGGAAAAATGAAAATCTATCATCCGATCAGGCTATAATTTCAAAAATTTTGGACTGTGTAGAAATGGATAGATTGACTTTGGAGATGAAGGAGAAAGAAGATTCAATTTATTTCAAAACTTGGGAAAAATTCTATCAATGATTAGAAATACACTAGAATACGATCAGAACTTAAAATTGAATTGAATCTTAAAATTGAATAGAATAAATGATAGACTCTTAGCTAAGTGTTATTTCATAGATTAATAATAGTTTTATTATTAGTGATTTTAAATATTAATGGTGATGACTAGAATTAGTTAATATATTATTAAGTATGAATATTTGTTTAGAGGAATTGTACTTACTTATCTAATTTTAGTTATATGATTATAGTTAACTTTAGAGGAATTTTACTTACTTATCTAATGTTAGTTATATGATTATAGTTAACTTTATCTTTATAATTGTTTAGTATTATACAAACTATGTTTATTTAATATTTAGATCCGGATGGTAGCTTGTTAGTTAAAACTTGGGATTATTATTATTACCCCATTATTGTACCTTCCTTTATCCTACCCCAAATTCCCATTCCCATTCCCCTCATACCTATATTGACCCTATCTTTTCCTTACCTATATAAAACCTAATAAAATATTTATAAAAAAAGAATTAATTTTATTTAATTTCCTGAATAAGAACTAGAAATATTAAAAATGGCCCATTGTTTGGATTGCAAATCAGCCTTCCCCATTACAGTTTCTGATCATATAATCCAAATGATTTTTCCCTCAATACGAATTGCAGCCCATATTGCTGTATTAAGTATTTCCCACAATTTATTTTTATTATTATTCATTATTGTCATTTACATAAGATAGTCATTAGCTCAGCAACATAAGTAAATCACTTTTTTCCTTTTGTATTTTTGTGAAAAGCCTCCTCGGGCTACCTTTTCAGTTGCATGGTAGCTGTGTGATTACATTTACAAAATACAGTGCTGTATTTAAAGTTATCCTGTATTTGACGGACATACCTATCTCAGTTTAATCTAAAGACTGTTTCTCACAAACAGCTAACCATCGCCAAAGAAGATCCCCCCCCCAGTCTACTCTGGAAGCAGCCTAAATTTACCCTTGTTCTACTTTTTAAAGTAGGGGTTTTTTTTATCTTTTCCCAATACAAAGCTTGGTCTACAGATGATATGTCTTTTTCTTAATTTTGGTAGCAGAGGGTCAGGAGTTGGCATTTGCCAAGCTCGGACTGTCTGATTGAGGCTGCTGTAGTTATGCTTGCTCCACACCATTTGGAATTCTGGGAGTTGAAGTCCACGAGTCATAAAAGAGCCAAGGTTGCCTACTCCTGCACTAGGCACTGTAATACCTGGAACATACTCTGCTTTCAGAAATTACAGGGGTTCTTTACCTATGCTGGTATACCAATTTTTTGAAACATCACTGACTGGTTATAAGTGTTCAGTAATTTTTCAAATGAGGGTTGCTGGTCAATTTAAACTTGTCCTGTCCCAGATAAATGTATTAAAGATTTTCTGAGCATTTACTGCTTTGAGAATTGAAGATACACATATCTACCAGTTCAGTAGAACTGTTTCCAAACGTAGCCACTTTACAGATTGGTGGAAGTGGCTGAGATTAAGCTCTAGAAGACTTTTCATGCTCTACTCTGTACTCTCCTCCATACCACCTGTCTATCAATTGGCTATTTTAGGTCTATTGTTTTCCAGACAACATGTTAAAAAAACAGCCAAAGTATCGCTGCTTTTGCAACCTGTCTCCTAGACAACTTGAATGGCAACTAAAGCACCAATCCAGGCATTTGTCCATGCCCAACTCACTGCTTTTTAAGAAAAGCAGTTGGTAGTAGTTTTTGCCACCAGCTGCTCACATTGAGTGAGAAGGGAAAATAAAGCCAAAAAAAATCTACCAATTGCTGCCCTTAAATTGTCCTGCATCAAAAATGTAAAAATTTAAGCAAATTAGAATGCAGCCTCAGGAAATCCAAATTATACTAGCATATTTTTTTGCCAATTCAGAGACTAGAGCAACAAACATTAATGCAGCTGTGCGGAAGACCTACAAAATGGTCTTGACATTTATCGTATTCTTCTCAAAATTTAAGATAAATAGGACTAATCCCTATGAAAATGCCTATCTTGGAAAGGCGTGCTGACTGGGTATATAGAAATGGCTTTTCCTGCACTGCTCCTAAACCATACAAGAAATTCCTTTGGTAAATGTCTCATTTCTTTAGTTTGAAAGCACATCACTTTAATTTTTTTAAAAAAATTAATAGTTTTACTTTTCCTTTAACCATGCAGCTCTTGTTTTAGATTGTAAGAAATGATATATACATAGTATAAGATCAAGCAGTGGGGAGTTGTAATGTTGAAACTCTGATAATTTAGCATATACATGGAATTAACTACTCACTTAAGGCGGAAAGAAGGAAGGGAACACAAGTTTGCTTTACGGAGCCCACAGTAATAAACCAGCCACCTTTTCAGGCTAACTTGTAAGCGTAATATAAAACTCACAAAGTTTTATTACATGTTTCTAATCTGAAGCACAAATTCAATATTTACAATGATCCTTTAAGCCAGGAGTGTCAAACTCAATTTCATTGAGGGCCGCATCAGCATTGCGGTTGTTTTTTTTTGGGGGGGGGGCAGGTAGGTATGCCCAGGGTAGGCGTGGCCTACTGGGTCGGCATGGCTGGAGTGGGTGGGCCTACTGGGTGGGCATAGCCAGCTCTACATTGTTCGCGTCAAAGGTGCCTGTGGGGCCCTGGGCAGGAGTGGGACAGATCTGAGGGTCTCTGGCAGAAGGGGGTGGGACCAGGGCAAGCGCCAAGGCATGGTCCACTGGAAGAGCCTGCAAAAACCCCTCCCCCGGAGCCCATCAAGCCAGATATGTGAAGTAGGTGAGGGCCATTTGCTGGCCACTTCCAGGCAATGGTGCATTTCTTCATTCCTCACAAAGGGTGACACCTCCCCAGCATGCACCCAGGGGATGGGGACGATGCAGCAGAGGCTGGTTCCTCGCTGTTGCCAGACGGCCTCGTGGAGCTAAGACTGAATGCATTTCAGCATAAATGGCCACCACAAAATTGTACATTGGCTCCCGCCGGCCTGGGCAGTGGGGGCCATTCCCTCACTGTTTCCAGAATGGCTTCGTGGGCCACATGAAACCACGTCGTGGGCCGCATCCGACCCCCAGGCCTTGTGTTTGACATTTCTGCTTTAAGTCTTATTGTGTTTTCTGTGTATCAATATATAACAATAATAAAACCCTCAAAATATATAGCTTTTTATATCTATTGTAATGTATGTTCCTGTAAGGCAGGTTACTACTATTTCCATAGTACTGATAACAGAGATTTAAAAAATAGAGTACTCTTTTGTGGTATGGGAAAAATGGATAGATTTTATACAACATAAGTTGGATATAAAAATATTACTTAGTTTATTAATAATTTATATACAAATTTTAATATTTTATAGATTGTATTATTTTTTCTTTTTCTTTATATGTTTTATTATTATTTTACTTTCTTATATTTCTTTTCTTCTTTCTTTCTCTTTATTCTTCTTTTTTTTAGGTATTTTCTTTTTTTTCTTTAATATTTATCTCTCATATATATATATATTATTGTTAATTATTCTATTAGTAGTTTAAGTAATGTATTTAGACTTATCTATGGTTTATATATATTTTTTTTAAGAATTCAAGAAAATTTAATTAAGCCTATATTCAGCTCTGGGAAAGTTGAGGGAGGGAGTGGGAGGGTTGGGGTGGGTTGGGGAGGGTTGTTTTTTCTTATTTTGTAAAATTTTAAAAATTTTCAATAAAAAAAAATAGAGTACTCTAATAAAATACCACTTCCCTAATAGAGTACCATTTAATACATTAAAGAAATAAATTTTAATTAGAAACTTGCTAATCTTTACTTCCTTCTCTTAATCATTATGCCACCATAATTCCATAGAAAACTGAAAACTTTACTAAATGTTTCTTATATTTAATAACTTTTTTCTGCAGTTGATTTATCACAATTGTTTCATTTTAGATATTCTACAAAGCACGCAGAGATTAAAAGCAAAAGATCTCAACATAAGCAATAACAGAAAAATGTGACACCTTTTTTAGTTATTTCCACTGAAACATAAGTTTGTTTAAAGAGCAATTTGGAACTTTACTTCCAATATTAGCAGACGTATCAAGTAAGTTGTGCAAATTCCTAGTGTTTGATCAGCTAGCACAAAATGGGCAACAAGCAGCTTCTGCATCTCAGATAAAGGGCAGGCAGTTAACCAATAGAGTAAACAAGGAGCCAAAACCCATTTATGATACTTTCCTAACTGCATTACTGAATGACAAAGCTGATTTTGAATTATCCAGTCTCTGCATTCAGAAATTGTTGGAAAACTGTCCATACATCCCTATTTGAATACCTCTAGAAAAATATCAATTTTCTAGTATTTTTCTCAATGAGATAAATACCAATTCTCCTAATCAGTAAATTCTTTTACAAGACACATCAATCTAAATAGTGGTTTCAAAATTATTTTTAAGCTGTTTCTTTCTTTCCTTCTTTCTTTCTTTCTTTCTTTCTTTCTTTCTTTCTTTCTTTCTTTCTTTCTTTCTTTCTTTCTTTCTTTCTTTATGAGACTTATATACCGCTTTAAGTGCAAGCACTCTCTAAGCGGTGTACACCAGTAAGCAATGTATATATATATTTACATTGCCCCCAACAATCTGGGTCCTCATTTTACCTACCTCGGAAGGATGGAAGGCTGAGTCAACCTTGAGCCAGTGAGATTTGAACCGCTGACCTGCTGAACACAGTCAGCTAAAGTGGCCTACAGTACTGCACTCTAACTGCTCCGCCACCTTCTTTCACTTATTTTTCACACAGCTAGACAGGTAATAGTGCTAAAGAAGCCTAGTTTGTTTCTAATGGGAATAGGATTTTTTTTCTTCCGTTTTTTAAGTGACTATCTTTTCCTGCTACAGCTTGATACACTCCCAGTTTCACAGAAGCTCAGCTGTAAGGCTCAATTCTTTCTATGTGTTATTTCTTATTCAGGAATTGCTTAGTCGGCGGATAACTCTCAGATGTGGTTTGAACTGACATATCAGCTGAACTGATACGCATTCAGTTGCTTCCATTAATAATAACTAACAGTTTATTATATGGAGATGTCTTTCTATAATTATTACAAAATATTCAACAATGTAATCAGTTGACTCCAAGAGTTTAATGCAGTCAGCTTGGATTTAGACCAGTGGTTCTCAACCTTTCTAATGCCGCGACCCCATAATACAGTTCCCCATGTTGTGGTGACCCCCAACCACTTATACATCACAGGGTGCCAGGGTGTGGCCAAAGAAAAGGGGGAAAAATGGCGGACAGCCTTGTTTGGCGACCCCCGTGAAATGGTCGTTCGACCCCAAATGGGGTCCCGACCCACAGGTTGAGAACCACTGATTTAGACTTTATAAAAGATACTAATTGTTCTCTTGCTTTTTCTTTTGTGTATATATATATGTAACCATTTGGGATTTCTGAACAGGTCATACCAACTAAAGTTAGGTCTGTTGCTTGGGGAAATCGGCTTTCTTCATCCAGTAGAGAAAGTAGCCCCATTGGTTTCTGAAGGAACATATCTAAGAGGGGTCTGTTGTCTTCATAATCAACCAAGACAGCATCAATTCCTTCATTTTGATATTCCATCTAAAGTATTACAAAAGTTAATAAGTCATAAATATCACAATGGGAATATTCCATATTCAGCAGTCTGGCCTTTCTTATTTATCTAGTTGCAAAGCTGAGAAAACAATAAGGCAAGCAATTTTCAAAACATGTTGCTGCTTTGGGAAACACTTCTCTTACATTTGTTCCTGGTTTTCACGTAACTAAAATTCATATGTTGCTTTTAATTCCACTGATTTTTAGAAAAAGGTATCTTTTACTTAACACAATAGCACACTATTGCATACAAAAATAATATATTCCAAATGCATTGTTCAGTATATAGCAAAGATAACACATTTTAATTGCTTTATACAAGTCTGTGTTCATAGAAGTTGCATGTGTGTCCAATAAATTCACAGGGTGAAAACTTTTTCCCTTTCTGAGAAAATGTTTATTTTCACAGAAGACAGATGAAGTCATAAACTTCATACCAAAATCATCTTCTTTGGTTGATTGGTCTTACAAGTCCCAAGCCGAGCCTGCAGAATTTGCTATCGAGTCAATCAAAGCTTACCTGCTCAAGTGCAAATATGTGCTGATTGAAATAAAATTGGATCTGCTCATTTGCAATGTTTATGCACAGCTGTTCAAATGAGTTCCTTGTAAAGTTCTCAAATCCAAAAATATCCAATATCCCAACATTCATTCCACTTTCAGCATTGCTGTTTGAAAATGAACCAATTTTTTTTTAATATCAAATATAATACTATAATTTGTTCCTGATTTTCCACTAAGGCTACTATATAACCTATGAGTTCAGTTTTTGAACCTGTGCTTATTTTTAGTATTGTTACTATTCTGAAGTAAGATATTAAACAGAATAATTATTTCTTTCTGGGACAAAACTTAACACTACAAATATGAATGCCTTAAAGAAAAAAAGAGTTCATTTCTCCACTATCGATTTATAGTATCTTCTAGATCATTCAACCATTATTGTGCCAAAGTAACAGGCTATGAAATATTCAGGCTATGAAGATGCACTAAATCAGTAGTGTGGAAATAATCAGATACAAAAATATACACACTCCTAAGTAAATTATCATTTACCAACTTAGGTAAACATTACAGTGAATGTTTCCTAACCGAGCAAACTTAACTATGGCATTTCTTATTAGAAATTTGACATTTTTAAACTAAATCTACAGAACAGCTAATAAACATTAGCAACCTGTGCCCTCTAGATCAGGGGTCCCCAACCCCTGGGTCATGGGCTGGCACTGGGCCGTAGCATGCCAGAAACTAGGCCGCACAAACAAGCCGAGCCCCATCTGTGGGATGCAGACAGCATACAAAACCACACCAGTCCATGGAAAAAACTCTCTCCACGGAACCGGTCCCTGGTGCCCAAAAGGTTGGGGGCCGCTGCTCTAGATATAGTGGATTACAACTTCCACTATATTCCATACTCCAGAATGTCTTATATGTAGTCGTCTTAGCTGGAGCTGATGGGAACTGAAATATGGAAGGTTGTTTATTCCATGGAGCAGTTCTTAGCAGTGTAGATCATCTACCATTCTCAAAGACATGTTGGTTCATGCCAGCCAAGACGAATTCATCATTAGTAGCTTCCCTTCTGCTGGAATTAATGGGTGGGGAAAATCATTCTGTCAATGCCGAGCTAGTATGGAAAAGGGAACCAATCCAGACACTTTTTAAGGGAACAAGATTCAAAAGTTGCTTCTTCCTGACTTTGCAGGATTAATTAGGGGCTGATGGGCTAATATGCTCAGTCTTTCACTGGCAAAGCTTCTTTCTCTTAGATGAGAGGCTTCTCCAACCCAACCAGGTTTACTTTTGGTCTCAGAATTACCAAACTTTTGAACAAAGGGTACATTGATATTGCTATATTGGCACAGTTAAGCACAAGAAGTTAATGACTGGGACTGAATTCAAACGTTTACTTTATGCTGAAGATTAAAATGAAAAACAGGAGGAAGATAAAAGATAATGTAATTAAAATATCTTCTAGTATCTTTCCAGGGAGGGACGTGATTTTAACCCAAGTGAATCCCATTTACCTACTTAGTTAAATCCCAATCAAGTCTTTCAAAACGGTGGAGTTAATGTCCCAGGAACAAAAATGCAAATCACAGCATGGAAACCAATTTGAGGCATTATCTAAAATGAACAGTAAGCTCTTGATGTAAAATAGAGAAATATGTAGGCATCAACAAGTAAATATGCAATTTATTGACTGTTAACTTGCCATATATTTTTATCAGGTTGCAGCAGGCTATTAATCCGATTTACAATCCAGCTGAAGAGTCGGCCATAAAGAGCCTTTGACATGGCATCTCGTACATCAGCTGCTTTGTCCACAGTATTTGTTCGGATAATGGTCTCACCTCGTGTGACAACACAATGTGAGGTGAGAGCCTCCTGAAGTTCTTCTGAGCCAATGCTTAGTAGTGCAGCAGCTGAAAGACAGGGATATTGTAAAATGGGGGCCAAAGTGCTAGCTACCTGGTGTGAAATTAGATTTCCTGATCATATTCTGCATTAGGACAATGCAGAGATTTTAGCAAATATTTACCATTATCTAAGGCTTCTATATTGGGCACTTCACTTTTATCAGTTTGGTGCTTTGAAGAAATGGCAGCAAATTCAATATTTCCTGTATTTAAGATCCCAGCCAAAATTCGATACACTGAATGCATTTCCTGAAAATGGTAAAAGAGAGTCAGAACTATAAACATCAACAGGTTACCAACACAACATTTTGGGGAACACATACATTCTGAGGACAGAATATTTGCATATAATTCCATAATCCAAACGCATCAAGCCATACTGTCCCTCTCAAATTATAATGTACGGTCAAAACCTTAACACTTTTGGTCATTGCAAAAGGTGGAAGATGCTAACATAATATAGCCACACTTCATGGTCAGAGGATTCATATCATTATTCTTTTTCTTTACTTCAGTGTGTACTTCTATCATCTTATTTCTAATCCTATCTTAGATTGACAGCCTCTTCAACAGCCAGTTTCTATTGATTGATTGATTCATTCATTTATTCTGAGCAATGACAGAACATTTATTTTGACTCTTTATATATCAGTTTTATGTTGTTATTAATTGCAAAGTCATGTCCGACCCATCACGACCCCATGGACTACATTCTTCCAGGTCTTCCTGTCCTCTACCATCTTCTGGAGTCCATTTAAGTCCATGCCTACTGCTTCAGTGACTCCATGCAGCCACCTCATTCTCTGTTGTCCCCTTCTTCTATTGCTCTCAATCTTTCCCAGCATTAGGCCCTTCTCCAGTGAGTCCTTCCTTCTCATTAGGTGGCCAAAGTATTTGAGTTTCAACTTCAGGATCTGCCTTCTAAAGAGCAGTTGGGGTTGATCTCTTCTAGGACTGACCGGTTTGAATGGCTTGCAGTCCAGGGAGTCTTCTCCAGCACCATAGTTCAAAGGCCTCAATTCTTTGTCGCTCAGCCTTTCATGTGGTCCAACTTTCACATCCATACATTGCAACTGGGAAAACCATGGCCTTGACTATACGCACTTTTGTTGGCAGGGTGATGTCTCTGCTTTTTAGTATGCTGTCTAGATTTGCCATAGTTTTATATACCAGTCTAATTCTTTGTATGCCAGTTTTTCTGTCTATAAAAGAAATCTGCCAAACTGTGAGATGCCTTGCAGTGAAATGGACAGCAAACAAAGTTAATCAATAATCAAATAATAAATAAAACAAATGGGCTAACACCATGCCAAGCAGATCCTAGAAATATCCTACTGCAATGTGAGCCTCAAAGAGATTCTGGTGCATCAGAGAAGAAGCCCAGATGGGACCTGGTAGGTTTGAGGGAAGGACTGATGAATTTCTCAAACTGTATTCCTAAATACAGTTGCCTGATAAAATGCCTAATCTATAGTTAAATTATTAAGAAAACTTTATTTTATTATTGTTATTGGCTTCAGAATTATGTGCTTCTGGGGTAATTTAAATGATGTTATTGGTGCCAAATATTGATTGTTCTTCCTCTGGTTTAGAGTTGATTCAAGTTTAGTAATTCGAACTCTAATGAACTACTCCACTGCTGTTGTTACAGTGCTACTCTCACTTGGGAACCACAAAAAATATTCTACAAGCTATATATAGAATTGTTCAAAGCTGATCCGGTAGCCACCATTGTACCGATTCATGTTTACTTAGCAATGCTATACTGAATAAGCCTGAATTAAGTTGCCCACTGAAAAATATAAATTTTTAAAGCAAGACCAACGTTATTCTGGCAACTATATATATATAAAAATCATCACTTACCTCTTTAGTAAATCCTATGATCCGAAAGCAATGCTGGATTGCTTCAAACTGAGTTCCATAAGATTCTTTGTTAATAATATCATGCATCATCTTTCCTGTGTCATTTGCAATGTACCTGTGTAAAATACATAACTGAATCTCATTTGATGTCACAGCTCTTTTCACATCCATAGATCCAGAATTAGCCAAAGAATGTCACCACATTGCTCTACGGCATTGCTGACTTTAAATTAGAATAGAGCTGGAAGGGTCCTTGGAGGTCTTCTAGTCCAGACTTTAATTAAATACATGAAGATTGAAACACCCAGGATTATGAATCTCATAAATCTCTGTCTAACCACATACTTCCAATTTGATAGACAAACTTACTATCAAATTAAAGGTACATTTATGGGATCGCCTCTTTCAGGACCTATAGCAGAGATTGTTATGCAACATCTACAGTGGACGTTACAGCAGTTATACAAATACAACACAAAATATGGATTAGATATATAGACAACACCTTCACCATAATAAAAAAGGTCCAATTAGAGAACAACACAGAGCTACCAACAACATCTTCAAAGAAATCCAGAGAAGAAAACCACAACCCTTCCTGGATATCCTGATCAGCAGAGACCACAATGGCAAACTAGAAACATAACTGTACTGAAAAACCATCCACACCAACCATGTACTCCACTATCAAAGCAACAACCCAACCTCCTACAAGAGAAGCTGGGTAAAAACTTTATTTAAACAAGCACAAATTTATTGCAGCAACCCTGAACAGCAGAAAAAGGAAACAGAGCATTTATACAACATATTCCAACAAAACGGATAGCCATGCAACTTTATCAAAAAGTGCCTGACCATTCAACCTAACATAGTACAACCCCTAAAAAGCCCTAGAAAGAATAACACTGCCATACATCAAGAACACATCATAAACCACCAACAGGCTACAACTACATAGAATCAGTGTAGCACACAAGCCATGAGGCGAGACAAGACCGGCAGAGGAGACTGGAAGAGCCAGCAACCCAAGGGCCACTAGCTAATTGGTGTAAACCTACTTCACCTCCCTCCCCCACACTGAACCAAGGAGAGGTGTGCAACTGCTTAACAGAATGAATTAGCAATCTAGGCTGTCAGGACTGCATTGTGTCTAGCATTGTATAACGTATAACATTATATGCTATATGTTAAATAAATAAACAAGCCAAAAAGGGAACAAAAAAAACCCAAGCACCTCTTCACCAGCAATCAGCACCCAGATGAGTATAGATTAGATCCAAGATTAACATTAGACCAACAAACAAGTAAACAAGACCCCAATCAAGGAACTACCAAACAAGCCAACAATAAAACAGCCTAACCAAAGAACCTCTAGGACCACCTCACCAATACTGACAGAGCAAGCCAGTGGAATATAGTCTGGGAACAAATCCCACTTTTTACTTGCACTGATGATGTTATCTAGTTTAGTTAGTGAAACAACTGCAAGAAAGCAATCAAGCTCAGAGACCGCCAAGGACCCCTTACAATGTATAGTTCCTGGAAAGTAAAATAACAAGGCTGCTGTCTGAAAGTCAAATCCATGACTCAAATCCCCTTTGAAGAGCCTATACATAATTTTGAGACTGAGCCAAAAGCTCAGACTAAACCCTTGTTAAAGAACTACCGTAAATGCCGGCGTATAAGACGACTTCCGCGAGCGCTGAAATCAGCGCCAAAGATGGAGGTCGTCTTATACGCCGAGTCGTCTTATACGCCGGAAATACTGGTAGTTTCCGGCGTATAAGACGACGTTCTAGGAATGTGGCCCGGCTATAAAGACGGGGGTCGTCTTATACGCCAGGTCGCCTAATACGGCGGCATATACGGTATTTCAACCAAATCAGTGAGCATATATGATGCTAACATACAGTACCTATCCGTTCAACCCAAATTGCAGCATCTCAATAAATATCTAGCTATTTCCTAGATATTGTCATATTCTTGTATAATCAACAAATGTAATCCTTAGGACAAATACCTACTCTCAGCTTAGTCTATCTGACTGGGTTATTGTTGGAAAAAAATGGGAAGAGAGACTATTATATATGCTGCCTTAAGCACCTAAATGGAAGGTAGAAATCTAATAAGCAAATTAATATTAAAAGGACAACCCCTTGCAGAGAATTGAAAATATATTATTTGCAAAGTGTACAGAGACACATTAAACCTCTCATTCTTATCTCCTTTTTCCATTACTAACATCATGACTAGCATATTATAAGCTGTCCTTTTAATTGATGCTATTATTTTCAAAATGAGGACTCCAAAAAATACAGTTAGGTAAATTTTGGGTCAGTCTCAAAGTTGGGAGAGAGCAAGGCAAGCTTCTTGAGAGATCAGAAACTAGAATACCCGAAGGCAAAATTTGGCCTAATATTGGTAATTACCCAAATAGTAATGTACCAGTTTAAAACAGTTCATTTGGCTTTCTTTGTCTAGAATGCTAATACATACCATTAACTTTATAATCATCCATTTTGGAAAGCAGATTAAATCTGAGAGTGTGGCGAAACTACAATTAACTGAACTTCTTCATTTTTTATTAATATAATTAATCCATATATAAATAATAGCATTTCTTCTTGCCTATACAGTTGAATACATGAAAGGACTACCGTGAATGTTTAGGATAAGGGGAATGATTAAGGCAAATTTTAAAACTTCTCACCAAAACAAACGGCTATTCAATACTTAGTTATAACTAGCAATAAACACAAGTCAGCAAAAATTACCTGGGAGGCTTTTTCTCAGGGAGCTTATATTCAGAAAGTTTCTTCTGATGATAAAGACCAGCATAAATGTAGTAAAATATATGGAAGTTTTTCTCTCCTCTGTTAGAAAAAAAGAATTACTGTAGAGCATAAATGTAAGATGTTGTCTTTAACCTGAGAATTCAACGAGTATATAAAACAGTTTTAGGCAGCAATCGTTCCCCCAAACCACATCTGTTTATATACCTAAAGAAATCCACATGTCCAGACTGCAAAATCCATCAGTCTCCGGTTCCTGCTCTATAATTGAGGCAATGGAGTTCTATATTCTCCATCTAGAATAAATGGAGGACACCAGGAGGAAAAAAGGTTCTGAAATGTTATTCTTAAGAAACCAAGTCTAAAATCAAGTTTTGGATTTCTCTCAGCCAATTGCCATTCTTCTGAGCTGTGGTGGGACATTTTTTAACCCTATTTTTTTTAAATATATTTTATTGATTTTTTTAACATAAGTCACCTTAATATTTGGTAAACAGCGTGTTGTTTGGGTTTCTATTTAAAAAACAATCAATAACAATTAATTTCTATAATTCCATAATCCACATAGTAGCTTTCTTTGATTTTCTCTTCGTCCAATAATATTCTCTTTTACCAATCTTGAATTAGTACATTTCTTAGTATTTTGATAGATAACAATTGAATATAAACATTTTCTAGTTTTTAACAACCACATCAATATAAAGCTTCTTTGCTAATTGATCATTTTAATTACCTCATCACAGATCCTGTTCAAAATATTCTTACCAGTTAAGATTTTCTCAGAGTTAATTACACTTAAGTATTTAAGTCTTTTTCCTCATACAAGCCATCCCAACAATTTTACATTTCTCGTATCTTAAAAAAAACAACAAAAAAGAGAAGAAAAAAGAAGGAAATAGTATACTGCTTGAGAAACATGTCCCTCTTAAGCTAAGATACATTTATATCCCGAATTTTTCTATTATTTTAACCATATTCAAACAAATGTTTAATCTTTAAATATTCCATCTAATAAATCCAATCATCTAATCTTCTGAATCTATTCAGAACATTTTTATCAACTGAGATTTTCTTAAGATCAATTACACTTAAGTATCTAAAACATTCCCTTCATATAAACCATCCCAATATTTTTATATTTCTCATATCATAAAAAAATACTATGTTACTTAACAGGTCCATCCACCTTAAACGAAAATACATTTATATCCAGAATTTTTCTATATTTTTAACCATATTCAATCGTTTAATCTTTAGATATTCCATTTGATAAATCCCATCATCTAATTTCTTAATTATAACTTTAGCCTTTTTTTTTTTTCTAAACATCTTTTTTAATCTGTATGCTCCGCTGGACCAAAAAGTCTTCTTATTGTCTTGTAGATATTGTTGTAAGTACAAGAGACGAATCCAGTAAGATGTTTTTCTGGGTTTTGCCCCTTTGTATTCATTGAAAATCTTTTTCTTTCTCTTAATTTCTCTTATCATTTTTTGTCTCTCAAATTCTTATAGTTCTCCTGATAGCTCTATAATCCATTTTGTTGAATCTTTTTTCTTGTCCTCAGACTTATTTTGCAATCTTGAAGTGTAGATTATCTTTAGCATGTCAGATATTTACTGCAAGTTTTTCTCTGCCTGGATTAAGTCATAATTCCTTCCATTGTTGGATTCTATCTTTAAATCTCTTTCCTCTACTTTATGTTGTCTGCTTTATCTGATCATACTCTATTTTTATTTGCTGAGAGTTTTTTTGGTGTAAGGTTAAATTGAAGATGTGTTCATTTATAATTTCAAAGTTGTTTTTAATTTCCTCGTGGTTTGAAATCATTGATTGAATTAGTTGCAATATAGCATACATTTCCTCCTGGAAAGTATTTGTTTTTTCTTGATATGTTCTTTCTGCAGATCTCTGATGTTCTATTATAGCCAAAAAGTTTTCCTTTCTCTGCAAACAGCTTTAGAATCACAGTTCAATAAGAATTTATAATCCAGGAAGATCAATTTTTTTCTAAGGTTTATAGTTCTTGCCTTGTAGATAGCCCAAAATGTTTTCTTTTCTTTGTTGCAGCTGTTCTCTGTTTAATTAAGACACTGAAGGTCACAAAAACAAGTTATCTTTTTCTGGGCTTTCTACCAATTCCTATATTAAAGCAACTACAGTTGTATATTTTCATCCACCACTAGATGTCAGCACCAGTTCGTTTTTCAATTTTCAGAACAAGCAATTATTTTCTTCTGTTTTCATCAAATATCTTTTGAAAAGAAAATCTTAACAAATTCTACCAATTTCAAACTTATCTAGATTTAAGTCTTATAGTCATTTCATTTCAATATATTTCTGTCCCCCATAAAAGTTTAATTCACCGCTTCCTTCTGTGGGAGGGTGGGGCAAGACTCACTTTCAGAGAATTTTTGCTTCTTGGCTTTTTTTTCCAGGAAATCAATTATCAGGTAGAAAAGAGAGAATCAATATTCTTACCCAGTTCCAAACATGTTGTTTATGATCAAGCTTAAATTAGTGCTTTTTGGCTTTGACTACTTGTAGCTTGGGCTAGACTCTGGAGTGAAGCTAGCCTTTCTTCTGCTGGTTTCTGGAGGGTTTTCCCCGAATGACCGGATTGACTGCCATCTCTCCGTGGTTGGTGGGGCTCCCCTACTTTTTTGTCACCTCTCTGGGGTGACTTTAGGCCCATTTAGGGTCCCCAACAGAGAAAATTGGCCATAGTGTATGGAGCCCCGTGATCCCTTGGCTGCTGCACTACTGCGCACAACTGGAAGCCCTAACCCTAATTTTTTTAACATTAAAATTGGATCCTGAGTTTTCTTGTTTTCCATCACCCTTGACTATAGGCATACTGTCTGAAATGAATGGTTCTGAAAATCAATACATTAGACTGATAAAGGCTGGTGTATCTAATTATGAATCCTCCAGGTCCAGGGGAATGCTAAAGCAGAGTCCCCCAATCTTTTGGGCACCAAGGACCAGTTCCGTGGAAAGAGGTTTTTCCATGGATCGAAGGGGGCATGGTTTCATGTGCTCCTTGCATCCCATGGATGGGGATTCACTTGTTTGCATGGACCGATTTCTGGCATGCCAGGGTCCGGTGCCAGTTCACGGACCAGGGGTTGGGTACCCCTGTGCTAAAGTACACTGAACCCTGTAATGTATTGAAAGAACAGAGAGCAAGGCCAGAGTTTCTGAGAGCTCTCTGGGTTTCTGCAGATGTTGGGTTGGACTTGAGCACTGCATCCCTTAAACAGCTCCTTCAAAGTCCCCCCCACCCCAGTTGCATGGGCATACATATAGGTGCACAGAAGTCATCTCTAGACCATGACTGGTACCTCAGCACTTCGAGCAGGAGCTTCAAGGTGCACTGTGGTTCCTTTGCAAATTGCCTCTCCAAATAATTTGCACAAGCCAGATATTAGTGCACTGAAGCCAAAATTATACTTAAAACTCTCCAACTCTTTTCCAATTGAAGATAATATTGCTAATTCATTTATAATAAAAGTGATATTTTAAACAAAACAGTCCACATTATACCTACAAAGCTTGTTTTATAACTCTGGATTTTTCAAGCAGGTATTCTGAGATCTTTGCTCCCATTACAGCTCCAGTTGGTGTGAACATCATTTCCAAGTATTTCCCAAAACGGCTAGAATTGTCATTGATAGCAGTGTGGGCATTCCCAAATGCTTCGACTAAAGGGTTCACTTGGAGGATCTTCTCCCGCAAAGCACGATTGTTCGCCTTCATAAACAGAAAAGGTCACAAGGAATTTCCTCTATCAGCGATATGCCCTCATATTCATTTAAAACATTCCTATCCTCATCCCGAACTGAAAGCAAATACATCAGCAAGAAGCAGTTGAAAAGGGAACACAATCAGGAACAAGATAACAAGAAATAAGAACAAACAAACAAACACCCCAGCATTAAATATCCATCTATTAATAGTTTGTGCAAATTTGTTTGAAAAGAACCCTTCCTAATTTCTCTGGGATATAATCCAATGAAAATACAAATGTAAAAGTTGTTTTATTATACATAAAACCTACTAAATAAATACCCAAAAACTGATTTTTCAATTTTTGTTCTAAAACTCTCTTCATATTACAGGTAGACTTAACAACCATTTAACAATTGTTCAGAGTTATAACAGCACTGAAAAGATTGACTTGTAACCATTCCTTGCACTTACAATTGTGGTAGCGTCCCCAGAATCATGATTAAAGTTCAGGCATTTAGCAACTGGCACATATTTATGATAGCTGCAGAATCCTGGGGTCAGATGATTGCCATTTGCTAACATCCCAACTCGCTTCAGACCAGCAAAGTCAATGGGGGAGCCAGAATCACTTAATGTCTACATGTTTCACTTAACAACCACAGTGCCCCCCTTAACAATCATGCAAAAAGGTTTGTAAAAATGAGGTGTGACTCACACTTAACCACTGCCTTAACTTAGCAACAGAAATTCTCATCCCAGTTGTGATCGCAAGTTGAGGACTATCTGTATTATGCTTTAACAAAGGATCTGAGACTGAAGTTAAGAAAAAATGGAAGGGGAAGCCTGTAATCACCTTGTCACAAGATACACTTGAAATGAGAAGGGAAGAAAAAACATGAAACATAAACATGAACCCAAGGATTTGTACACACTCATCCCTGACAAAGTGGCAAGTGGGCAACCTGTGGCCTCCAAATAATTCTACATTACAAATCTCAGCATCCTTCAGCTGTCCCTCTTGCCTGTGGTGAGGGAGAATTGAAACCCAGTATAATCAGTTGAGACAAAGACTGCTCAACCCTGCACTAAATCTGAATTTAAAGTTGCATGCAAATGCAGCCAATACTTCACAGTATTATAATTTGAGTTATGTGACAGTCAGTAAATACCTTTCCCAGGAAGGTCAAATGCTGCACAATCAGATGGGCACTTTCGGTCTTCCCGGCGCCGCTTTCTCCACTGATGATTATGCACTGATGGTACAAAACAGAAGAGAAGATGTGTAATTGGCAACTCAAGGAATATACCTTCATCCCTATAGTCATGTGCTTTAATATACCATTAAACATTTAACTATTTTAAATTATATTTTCTTCATGAGTATAAAACGAACTTTCAAAATTGCCCAGTTGAAAGTATTAAATATATACATACATATATATATATATGTTCAAACACATGGATTCATATATATATATATATATATATATATATATATATATATATATATATATATATATTTTCGCGGGTATTTGTATGTAGGTCTTTGGTTGTTCGGGTTTTCTCCCGCGTAAAATTGGAAGTGTCTTGGCGACGTTTCGACGAAGTCCCATTCGTCATCTTCAGGCTGGTGTTTTCAGCTTCGTGCTTTCGAGCAGCAATGTGTGGTCTTAGCTGTTTCTTCCTTTTAACTGCCAGGGGGGTATGAACTGATTGGGTGGGAGCTTGGCTGTGTTCTGATTGGGTGGAGGTGTGTTCTGATTGGTTAGGGGCGTGGCTGTGCTCTGATTGGCTGGGGGTTTGGCTGTGCTCTGATTGGCTGGGGGGTTGGCTGTGCTCTGATTGGCTGGGGGAGTGTTCTGTTTGGTTGTGCTCAGGTTAGTCTGAGTTGCAGAGGGATTTAAGATTTTGGGCTGCCTGCTATTTTTTGGCTTCGCGTTCGTGGTCGTGCTTCCTCTTCATGGAGGGTGTCAGTTTGCTTCATACCCTCCATGAAGAGGAAGCACGACCACGAACGCGAAGCCAAGGAATGCAGGCAGCCCAAAATCTTAAATCCCTCTGCAACTCAGACTAACCTGAGCACAACCAAACAGAACACTCCCCCAGCCAATCAGAGCACAGCCAACAGCCAATCCCCCAGCCAATCAGAGCACAGCCAAGCCCCTAACCAATCAGAACACACCTCCACCCAATCAGAACACAGCCAAGCTCCCACCCAATCAGTTCATACCCCCACTGGCAGTTAAAAGGAAGAAACAGCTAAGACCACACATTGCTGCTCGAGGCACGAAGCTAAAAACACCAGCCTGAAGATGACGAATGTGACTTCGTCGAAACGTTGCCAAGACACTTCCAATTTTACGCGGGAGAAAACCCGAACAACCAAAGACCTATATTAAATATATATATATATATATATATATATATATATATATATATATATATATATATGAATCCATGTGTTTGAATTGGATCTAGCCTGCTAATAATGGAGAATACAGAAACATTTTCTATTTCTGCCAAATTCTTCCAGTGAGCATTAAAAAGATTTCTGTCCCTTCTACAGATATAATCCCAGGAAATATTTATATATGAGTGACATTAAATCACATCTGATTAAATAATGAATGACCCTGTACAGTATGTGACAAACAAGAAAAATAATTATTTTGGCAATAAAATTTGGAAGATTTTGTTTTTTGTTTAGGGATGTGCACTGAAGCCTTCAGTATCTGGATCTGGCCACCCCAGATGAAATGGTATGAAGAATTGGGAAGGTGAATCAAACAAATAATCTGGGATTGTTTCAAACAACGCAAGTGGCTGATAATTTCATTACAAGCACTATGCTCTTGGAACTGACAATACTAGGACGCTCTTGAAAAGAGTTTTTCTTTACATGGTTACTCCCTAAATTTACACAATTTTTTCCCTGTGCTGGCCAGTTTATATCTACACTTTAGTTAGCTGGATTGTAGGGAAAGTGCAAGGGTCAACTCAGACCTCACATCACATACATAGCTACTTCTGTGAAAATAGTAGTCATGTGCTTGGTTGGGCTCTCTCTATGTGACATATCAAATTTGCAACAAGGTGACATTTAACCCTTTCAGGTTAAGACACTAGTATGGAACAATGATTAAAAAAATGAAGAACATAGCATCACAACATTAAATATCTGTACTTTAATATTGATTTTTTTTGTTTAAATGTATTTACTTTGTTTTAACTTAATGACCCTCTGAAAAACTGATGAAGAGAGAAACATATATTGACAAGTTCTACCAGGTATTATAGTGGAGGCAGGAAGCCAAATGGATGATTAATGTTTTTGGCAGCAGCTACCTATTTCGTTGAACTCTACCTTGGTTCCTGAAGCATCCTAGAAGAACAACTATTCAGAGTACTTTTGGTTGTTCTACTTTTAAAGGAAAAAAAGAAGAGAGAAAAAGATCCTTCTAACAGTCACCAAATACAGTATATTTGGTGAATATCCCTGCACATCAACTCCTTTTCTCTTTATTCCAAATGGTGATATGCCTGTGTATTTATTTTCTGGAGCAGGAGTGTCCAACCCTGGTAACTTTAAGACTTTTAGACTTCAACTCCCCCAAATTAAAAAGAGAATGTAAATATTCCCTTTTTCACTTTAAGTAATTCCATGCAAAATATTCAATGACAATGGTGTTCAAAACACAGATCTGCCATTTCATACACTGCAAATATATGTGAAAAGTATGTTCTGTAGAAAAACTAAGGACAATATAAAATTTTGGCCTATGATTACAGATCTAATATTACTAAAGAAACAACTCTGATGTAAAGAAGTACCAAGCTGCATATAGAAAAAAATGTAGATATCAGAAAGAATAAAAGATAAAGGGACACACATCCAGTTTTGGTCACCACGATGTAAAAAAGATGTTGAGGCTCTAGAAAGTGTACAAAGAAGAAGAAGAAAGATGATTAGGGGACTGGAGGCTAAAACATATAAAGAATGATTGCAGTGTTCCAATATCTCAGGGGTTGCCACAAAGAAAAGGGAGCCAAGCTATTCTACAAAGCACCTGGAGGCAGGACAAGAAGCCATGGATGGAAACTAATCAAAGAGAGAAGCAACCTAGAATTAAGGAGAAATTTCCTGACAGTTAAAACAATTAAATCAGTGGAACAGCCTGCTTTCAGAAGTTGTGAATGCTCCAACACTGGAAGTTTTTAAGAAGAGACTGGACAACCATTTGTCTGAAATGGTATAGGGTTTCTTGCCTGAGAAGGGGGTTGGACTAGAAGACATCCAAGGTCCCTTCCAACTCATCATCATCTTCATCATCATCATCATCATATTAGTATTCAAATGAAAGCTCAAACTCTATTTCAAGTATTAGGTTAACTTTTCCTATTGTTCTAGAGAATATACTAGCTTTGGAACAAATGTTATACCACTATAAAAATTTACTAGTTGAAAATACTTTATCCTGTAAATCTAGTTTATATTTGAGTTTGGAGGAAACTTTCTCCCCCTCCTCCTTGCCCCTTTCTCCTTCCTCCTTCAACACCCAATTAGTTTAGCCCTGTCACTATCCTGATTTCTCATCTCGAGGCACGTTCCATTTTTGTCAATGTCCTTCTAAAATAGAGTGCTGAGAACTGGACATATTTCTCCAGATAAGGTCTGGCTAGTATAGAGATTACATTCTATGACCCAGAAATTATTCTCCTTCTGTTGATGCAGCCTCAGACTGCATTAGCTTTTCAGTCTTCATCATGCCACTGACTCATCTTCAGCTTGTGATTACTAAGGTTATCTAGATTGTTCTCACATATATCACTACCACAAGATATCTCTCCCATCTACAATAAGTGTCTTCTTCTTATTATTTTTTTTAAAAAAGCAAGACCTGAATTCTATAGTGTCATTTGTAAAATTCTTGGAAGCCCTCTTTCAGACTCATCCATTCAGATTATAAAAGTACTGAACATCTATGGCTTAGGACAGATACTGTTCCTCCCCAGACTTACTAGCTCCATACTGATGCAAAGACATGAATGAGAATAGGTGTTGTGTTGAAATATAGAAAGCTGGATTTGCAGGAGTGAGGGGGAGCATTCCAGAAAAATAATAATCCAGATACTTTGTGTGAGAGAAAAAGGGTGAAGACAGCCCCTCCCTAATAGTTCTTAAAGTATGTATTTGATGTTTCCCCGAAAGTAAGACAATGTCTTACATTATTTTTGCCTCCAAAAGAGGCATTAGGTCTTAATTTTGGGGGTGTCTTATATTTTTCATGACACCTGCCTCGCCTTGTGGCAGCGGCACCAACAAAGATTTCGCGAGAAGTTGGAAGGTCTGACTGAACTTTTTTTAGTCTCACAAACTCCGTTTCCCTGCAGCAGAAGAGAAATGTGCCAGAGCTGGAAAGCAGGTTAGCAAAGAAATGCTTTCGGGAAGAGGGAGGAGCTGCGCCGGGAGAAGTGGCAGGAAACGGGGCTGCTGTTTCCAGAAGGGAGAAGGGAGACCCAGGGCAATGCAGGCAGAAAGCAAATGCTGTTCTCTGCTATGCATCCCTGCGCAGAGCTGCTGTGTTCTCTGTTCTCCATAAGACAGGCAACAAAGGGATGGCAGAGGCAGGCAGCCGGGAGAGTTGGCGGAGGACAAAGAGGTGGCAGCTGCGCCCAGGCAGATAATCTGCAGGGTGAAGCTTAAAGAAAGCCCCTCCAGTGGTGCACAGCAGCAGCAGAGCCATTCACTGTCACTCCCCCCTGGCTCCAAAATGGCGGAGAGGGACCAGGCCTATTCCATCCATCTCATCCACCGTAACATGGCAATCCAGCTCGGGAGGGGAGTGAAAGGTTGCCGATCAAGGAATGGCCTGGTTGGGGGGGCCCTGAAGTATTGGTAAGTGGATGCGGGGTGCATGGGGCAGCTCCACCCCCTCCCCCACCTGCCTCACCTCATTGTGGCGGCAGCGGCACGATGTGCCGTGTGGCCTCCTGCCCCATTGCAGCAGCGAGGTGGAACGGAATGGGCAGGGTCCTAACTAGGGCTTATTTTTAGGTAAGACTTATATTAGCTCCCTCAAAAAAATCAAGGTAGGTCTTAGTTTATAGGAGGAGCTTATTTTCGGAGAAGCACAGGTAGCAGAATGCTTCAGTTTGGCAAGATTCAATCTATAGGAACTCTGCTCAGAAGAGTCATTATGTGTCTTTCTTGGTTTTGGGGCCTGACAGGTGTGGTTGTTGCTGAAACAGCGGTACAACCAAGTAACACCAGACCCAACTCACACTGAATCAACTTTCAACAAGTATATTAAAAGAAATCTTGGCTTCAATATTTTTGAAATCAGGCTATAACACATCTGCACTTTTTATGATTCTTGGATGTACACTGCTAGTATGTGCAAATCCTTTGCATGCAGAGACAGCTGAGATATAATTACAAAACAGTCACACAGGTCTTAAAAAGAGATGCAGCTTCTTTATTGATTCTTTTCAGAGATGTAATACAGGAAAATGAGATTAAACCAATAGTCTGGAAAAGCTCTTAATCAAATGGAATCTCAGATACCATTTGAAATATACTGTTATTTACTTTTTATCATACAGATAATTATTATCCATGTAGCAAAAATTATATCTTGAGTACACCCAAACCTGTTTCTTAGTCTGCATATATTTTCATATAAAATATATTCATCAAAGAAATGAATAAAGGATATAAGAAAAATAGTTGAAAAAACCTTAGAGCAATAGCATACATTTATCAATTATCTTCTAATCACCAGTTGCAAATTCCATGGTGGTCATATCACACATTACATAAACCTAAGCTTGTCAAAGAGTGTGTTTTTAAAAGGGCTCCAAATTAAACAGCTTATAAGACGCACATGTTTAGCACAGATATCTGTAGGATAGCCTTGTGGCATAGCAAGATGCTCACTCCTTTCAACTTCATGGAGCTTGCTTCATGAAGGGAAAACCCTGTTTTTGTTATTTTGACAAAAATATCAGATCTTTCAGATGCCTCTGATTTTCAGTTAATACAGGTAGACCTCAACTAGTGACTATAATTGAGACCAGAAACTCTGTCACTAAGCAACATGGTCATGAAAAAAAAAAATATCATATGATTTATGTGCTAACTTACAACAACAGTTCTAGAAGTTCCAGTTGTGGTTGTTAAGGAAATCATACAGTTATTAAGCATGCTGTCACATGACCGCAATTTGAGATTTCATCTTGACTTCCACCTTGACTTTGCTTGTCAGAAGCTTACAGGAAAGGTAAGATCATATGACTGTGGGTTGCTGTGACTGTCGTAAATGTGCACTGGTTGCAAGGCACCCAAATTGAATCATGACCACAGGCTTTCTGAGACAAGCACAAATCAAGGACTGGTCATAAATGTCCTTATTTAGCAGTGTTCATAACTTTGAACAGTTGCTAAACAAATGATCGCTAAGTGAGGATTGCCTGTATTTTTATATTTGTGGATGGTTTTGGTACAGATTTAGTTGGAACAGGTCCAATTAATCACTGAAATGTAAATTAATCATGACTATAATTACCTTTGATTTCAGTGGCTCAATTCTAGATACGACTAATGCTAAAAACAATCTGTTGTATTTTTAAATATACTTTACTTGTAAGAATCTTACATAGAAATTTCTATTACCAGCTATGTTTAAAACACAATTATGACCATGATTCAAAACCTCATTAAATTCTGTACAGCATATTTGACAAAGTTTAATCAATGACAAGTGAAAAAATGCAGCATTTTCCTATGTCGTGCATATAATTGTAAGTATTAAAAAAACAAATGTTTTCTTACCTGGTCTTTATTAAAAGTAATCATGCCTTGGTAAGCAGCATCTGCAGTTGCAAATATGTGGGGTGGGTTGGAGGAACGCTTCACACCATGATAAAGCTTGGAAAACTAAATACGAAATCACACTTGTCAAAACACTGCATATGAACCAGGCAACTGGAAAATACATATCAAAATGCAAAGAAGCAGAACCTCCAACTCCTGCATATGATTTCTCTCTGTCCATAGTAAGCTGTCTTAGATCAAATTATTTGCCAATGCAGATAGATGTCTACTCCAAATGGCAATGCCTTTCCAAAAAAAAAAAAAAAGTTTCTATTTCATCCTTTCACCTGGAAATACCAAAGACTGAACACACACCCTTCTTGTGCCCTTATATTTCTCCCCAACATCCCTTCTATATAGGTAGTCCTCCAGATAGGAGCCTGCCAATTAGGATCATAAGTCAAAAAAATTCCTCAAATGAATGAGACTCAACTTTACAATTTTTTAAAATCAAATTCATTAATTGAATCAAATGGGTTGTTAAATGAACAAAGATCTGTCTTACTATTTCCTCCTATTTGTTAACTGATCACTGCCATTTAACTGAACTCAGAGGTTTTTCCCCCACTGCCACCCATCAGCTGTTTCCAAAGCAGCCTTGGCTCAGGAACTAGTAAATTGCCTCCAAGCAGGGCTTGCAGCCATTGCAATTGCTTTTTTTTTTTTTAATCCGTTGTTGCCAGTAAGCTCAAGAGTCTTCAGCTGCCCAGAGAGGGGTTGGGGAGGTAATTTTCAGAACTCTCAGCTTGCAACAGTAACAGAGATGGAAGGGACCTTTGAGATCATCTACTGCTGTCACAAGAGAGTATTTCTGATTAATGCCTATCCAGTCTCTTCTTAAAAGCTTCCAGTGATGGGGCACCTACAACTTCTGGAGGCAGTTTAAATTTAAAACCTACAAACTACAGTAATATATACTAATCTCCAAAATAAAAGCCAGGAAACAGAACGTTATAGAATGCTTTGTGTAGATAGTTTGCAAGTACTATAAAGTAACCATTTTTTTTTTAAATACTTACAGAAGCAGTTGTAGCACTCCAGTCCCTGGTACAGGCTCGCTCTTGGTTTGGCCATGTGACCAGGGATCCCCCCCCAAAAAAAACCCTTCTGGCTGCAGGAAATTGCATTGGTAACTAGAACAGCACAGAGTTAAAAAATGGCTGCCGCTTCAGAGAGATAGAGAGAGAGAGAGGTGTCCCAAAGATTCTGAGGATGTGGCTCTTTACCCACGCCTTGGTGGAGGCTGATCTGTGTTTCTTCTTTCCTATCCTGGTGTATTTTCTCTCTGGAGCCATTTTTGCTCCTTTGGTGTTGTTTTGTTTCACATTCTTTGTTTTAAATGTTTTTAACACTTTGTATTCAGCAAGCCTTCATGGTACAGTATGTTGAGATATTTTTCCAACGTCCTTTCTTCTTCTTCAACTGTATTATATACGGCAGGGGAAGTATTGGTACAATTTGTTACCCTAACTTAGTATTCTTTATTCAAAAATACATGATTAAGAAGCGCCCTCTATCAATAGCTATTGTTAATAAAGGAAAACAACATGATCACCTGATACAGCATAAATAGTTTGAAAAGGAGCTTCTCTCTTACCTGTGGAGAATATACACTGAGATTTTGGAAGGGGTTTAATGCTATTAAAATATCTCCAACGTAAGTATAGATTTGTAAATCTCCATATCGCTTCTTCAGCTGATAAATAATTGTATCCTGAAAAGATAAGTTTCACAGTTAAATAGTGTTTCTTGGAAATTCACTGTAATAAGCAATAATCTTCAGTATTATTTGTCACTTTTCTCAAATATTAACTTTACTAAATTAAACCATTGCTTACACAATTCAAATATACGTTTATAGCTATACCAAATAAAAAGCAACATGTCTGTCTTGTAAATTTAGGTTATATAGGTAAGAGAAATGAATTCTACATATCACTATTCAAATGTATATTTGGAATATAAAGACACAACAAAAATAATTTTAATTCCACACATGAAGCTAACTTGCTGGTTTCAAAAACAGATTATCTATAATTATTTTTATTTATATATTTATTACAATTGTAACATTTTACTACAGTTCAATTTTAATGAAGACAAAGCAATTTTACATGGCAGTCACTGCTGAAATCTATTTTCACTTACTGTAGTGTATTTTGACAAATCCTAAGCATTAATTTTCTCAACTAAAATTATAAAAAGAAAAACAATGAACTGAGTTACCAAATGTATTGTTTTTCTATCATGATGCTTGTTTGTTCATTTTTATTTGATACATAACTCTTAACAAATGCATGAAACATGAAAAAATCCCCTTCTTAATTTTTATAAATTGTTGCATTGCCTTGATCTAGCAATTCTTAATGTCAATAACAGGAAACAGTTCTTTCATCCCATCCCACCCCATCCCACCTCAAGCAAATGACATTTTCCTTATATAGAGAAGCCTTAAGCATTGCTCTCTTTCCTTTGGTTCACAAAGGAAAAACTGGCTCCTTGCCTACTATAATTAGATGTGAGAAGACCCTCACAGGATTAATTATGAAAGTGGCCGGTATCAGCAAGCAATAGGTTAGGCACGCAATAGGTTGGGCACACAAGTTGGTATCTAAGAGCCAAGTTACTTATGATGGCTGGCAATAGCAGTGTGATTTAAACAGCTGTATATGCAAGGGGTATGGAAGTCTGTCCTTTCTACCCATAATTGCTGCACTTTTTTTTCAGTGGTGGCCCAAAGATATATATAGCACCCCCACTGGGAAAAAAATGACAGACATAGAAATGATCAATTATGTGTAGAAGGCACTCAATTTCTGCTTATTCATGCTGCATTTTTCTTCTTCTACTCTTCCTCACAATTTCTTCTCAAACAAGACTTCATAATCCCTGAATTTCCAGCAATTGTTGTCCATGTTAGCTGGGAATTCTAGAAGTTGTAATCTCAGTAGTATCAAGAGGATGCCATGTTAGGGAAGACTGCTCTCTAAATGAAAGTGTGGGAAGTCAGAGCCCCAGAGAAGGAAATATTAAAAGGGCAGAAAAATATATTTTTCCTCAAAAGGATTTTTAAAAGCAGGAGCCAACTCTGCCCCCAAATCTCTCTATCCCAAACAGGAGCCAGCTCTATACGAATGCAAATGTAAAACCATCAGAAAGTTTGTCAAGACAAAGAGACCTAAAATCTGCATACCCCACCCAAACTCTAGGAGTCATTAGCCCCATCACCAGGGAAGCAGGATATGATAATAGGATTAAACCACAGATATCAAGGCCTAGAAAAACACTCAGAAATAGCCTCAAAGTTCATGCCACAGGAACAGGAAACTATTCCAAACAAAAGGCTAGAGGGTATAAAAACCTACTGCCCGTGTGCTAAGCTCTTCTCATCCTCTCATGCCACAAGGGTTCAGGAATACTAGTACACATTTTGTCTCAGGCAGTTCTCATTCCAACGTCTCCCTCTCAAGAAGGAGGAGGAGGAGGAAGTTTGTTTCAACTGTGAAAGACTGTGGACAGTTCTCTGGGGGAAGCCCCAAAGTGCTTTTTTTCCCAAGAGGCAGCTGGACTTTCTTGTGTTTCTTTTGAAGATGCTTTGCTTCTCATCCAAGAAGCTTCTTCAGCTCTGACTAGATGGTGGGGAGTGGAAGGATTTATATTGCTTGCAGACAGATGGTCATTTGCATTCCTTTAGAGAGTCGAAACCATTTTGGAGGTTTACCTGTGTCCTCAGAAGTGCAAATGTGTGTGAAGCCTTCTTGGTTGCAGGATGTTTTCTGCCCTGTGTCCCTTCACTGTTGAAAACAGGCACAGGCTATTGGGGATGAGTCTGTGCTGTCTGGAGGAAGGGAGATGAACAAGAAGCAGCATGCCAAGGCAGGGAGAAGGAGAAGACAGTGATCACTCTCCTTCCACCTCAGACTGAAGTTTTGAACTTCCTGAAATGAAAAGGAAGTACCAGTAAAGCCGAATCAGAGGGGACATCTGATTTGAGTTTCTGAGATTTACATAGCAAAGCCAGCTCTAGACATTTTGCCACCCTAGGCAAAGTCATATTTTGGTGCCCTCTATGATTTGGCTCATCTTTCAATTTTTTTCTAGGAATCTCAAAAAGGCACCCTTTTGTTTTGTTTTTTCTTTTCAATTTTTGAGTGTTACACTACAGATTTTCAGTCTGAGCATGCTTTGTTTTCCTGTGCACCCTTTTTATCCAATAAGTCATTTTATTTACATCAGCACTCACTGTTTTCATATAGCAATAATTCCTTGAAATTATATTTAACCCTCCAGCAGGCAGGCATATAGGCTCATGGAGTTCTTATTTTTGCTTTTTTATTTGTTTTTCAGAAGTCTTTAATTTTACTGCCCTTAAAATTTAGTGTCCCTAGGCTAGTGTCTACTTGGCCCTAATCTAGAGCAGGCCCTGTTGGGTAGAAATGGTTAATTATATAGTTAGAACTCGATTCAATTAATCTTTCATAGAGGCTGCATTTTAATCTCCCAGCCTAATGTAAGGGTATTTTCTGTCAGTTGGAATCAAAAATTCAGAGGATCTGTATTACTGAACTCTATAAGAACCAGTTTCCCTTACTGGTAGTTAATCATTGCCAACTGGGATATGTTGGGTTCTACCTGGACTGAACTTTGTGGATTAATTGATGAAGTACATTTGTTCCTCTCTTACGATAAGGTTCCTCTTATGATAATGTTCAATCTTTTTTTCTTTTAGTTTAATGTACTGTGGCTTGTTTTTAAGTAAGCTTCCCAGACCCACTACTATATATGAATATATGACTGGAGATTAGAATAATATGATACAAGGTGTTTTTTAAAATTTTGTCAGAACTTTGAATGATCAACTTGATAACAGGATGATATTAATTACACCAGTGACTTAAAGGCAATTACAATTAGTAAGATCACTATTTGTACTGAGAAAGAATCCATCAACTCATCATATCTTACCTCGTCCAAAATTTCAAGGTTTACCAGATCATCATCTGGAGAATATTTGTCAGAAGCTTCAACGTGATATGGTCTGCGATTATGCATTTGTTCATGCCTGTAAAATGGTTGGAGTACCTGTGTGAAAAATATTCTTCCTAAAAAGACATATGAAAAACCCCCTACAATACTTCAAGTTGCAGCTTGTATTTTCCATTGTCTGGAAAATATTTAATGGGGTCATGCCTTCTGAAATATTTTCAGAACTTTACAATGCCATAGTCTTACACACACACACACACACACACTACAATTTGCACAACCTTTTAAAGACATGTATTCCATTGAACCTTTTTTAGCAATCCACCAGGTTATTCATCAATTTTCAATCAAAATAAAATGAATAATATATGTATATATTGTGTCCATCCTGATTATAGCAAATAAAAGTGCAGTCCAAAGCACTTGCCAATGATCTTCACATAAACAGAACCAAATGATAAAAAAATGTATACTTGATTGTTCATTGCAGATGCAAGGTCTTATTTTTTAATGTTATATACTTAAAAAGTTCTTCTCGAGTAATACTAGTACATCTAAAAGATCCCTATGTTTTATCACTGATGTATTAGATTACTATACACACACACACAGGGAACTTATTCTAAATAGAAAATGCTCCAATATTTGATTCACACCAGTGATTACCAGTGGTATAACCCAAAATATCATCAACCCAGGCTACAACCAGAACTCAGGATATTCACCATCATATGTAGCACTTTTTTAGTTAACAAATTCAAAGCCATTCATCTTGAATATAAAATTTACAAATCTCCATCACTTTCACTTTATCTCAGTGTGAGTTAATTTGATATTCATCTGAAGCCATGATTTGCTATATTGTTTTGTCCTCTTCTTCCCCACATCAACTAAATTGTTAGCTTATTTTCTAGATCTACAATAAAAATATATATGTCTTTAACTTGCTACATCGAAATTTGTAAAAGCATCAAGATGTATGACAGTTGAAACGGATACTTTCTTTGCTATGATAGATTAAACTACAATTATGTTTAAACCATTTACTCTCTGCATACAGATGACACCATGCATATCCCATAACTACTGGCTAGCTTGATTACATGGACAAAACACTGTATTTGAAAGTAGAGATTGACTTATTTTGTTCTTCCAGTGTCCAAAGTAGTGAAAATATTTATAATAGCAGTATATTAACATACTAGGTGGCGCAGCATATCTGTTGAGTCCTTCGCGAAAGGAAATAACTTCAGGAGTCATTTGGTAGTTCTCAGGAGCCTCTTTATTGGTGACAATAAAGCTCTGTTACAACACCGAGGCACACAAGCCTCTCTGCTCCTCTTAAAGACAATCCCCGGGCCAAACGGCAACATTTGGCGCGCTTTGCACTTCACGCATGCGCGCGAGTGCTGGCGCCAGCCAGTCTGGTCCCGGGCAGCTTGCAACTGCCCGGGACTGTTGCAACGTCCCAAGCCTGCCTTCTGCAGGCTCAGGACACAACAATATCCATCACAAATGTTCAAATGCTTTCTAGTCTTGCAACCAATATTATCAAAGAGGATCCACTCAGATACAACAACACAACAGCGCAATGTTGGCTTACACTTCTAGTTCCTCAACAACCATCTACAGATTTCCCATGCATAGGACTTCCTGTTTCAGAGTAAATAGTAATCTTATGACACTGGAGCCAATAAAACAAAAAACAAATACAGTAAAATTGCTAGCAATTTTCAAGGTAGTGAAAACTGTGCCGTGTGACAATACATAAACCTTGTTCCAAACATCTTGTTTCCTATATTGATACTGAGGACTGAACTTGGCTAGTGAAAGATATTTTATAATCTGAATTTATGATTTCAGTATGTTTGAGGGCTTCTATAATATTCTTAGTAAAAACAACAGAATCATAGAAAGTATTTAAGAACTTTCTTTAGTTCCCCACATAGATGTTATGAAAACACTAATAAGAAAGGAATTAGATAAAAAGCCATATGAAATTCATTTAAATAATACAATGGATGAAAAGAAATTATGAAATATCAATTGCTGAATTGAAAATAAGTTATGAAATATCAATCCCTGCAAACAAGCAATGTGTGATTTATGTCTTTGTTAAAAAAATTTAAAAATTTGATAACGACCCAGACACAAAGGCTTAGATTTGTTTTTGTCCCAATATGAGTTGTTTGTTATACACAATGTTAAGTTCTGTTCCTTACTTCTAATCTTAATGCTAATTCTATGCTTATCTATTTCCTATTTATTGTCTTACTACCTATCTTACTCTAGGGCCTTCTTATTACTGAAATAACTTTATCTCTATGTTCTATGTCTATATTCTTATCTGTACATTTGTCACTCAGCATTTTCCTATTTTAACTATTTCCTAGCTCTTTGAGTCTTTTTTGTATCCTCAAATCTTAAAACTGTTGCAGTCAAACTCAATCCTTGTGTATTTGGAAATCCCAATTTGAAAACAGGTGAATTTGTCTTTCTACATTCTTTCAGTGGTCATTATTCTAAAGATTGATTATTCTGAAGATTATCAGAGCTGGCAAGCCAGTGTAATATGGTTTGATTCTATGCCACAAATCTAATTGGATAAGATGCTTGGAGTTGTGAAGATCTGGGTAGGAAACATAGGTTCAATACCAGCAAGTATGATATGGGTTCCAAACACAGTTGTCACCAGACTATATATATACATATATATAATCTTAAACTGAAGATCCTTTGCTCCTGATTGAGGAGCAGATGACAGGAAGTGAAAGTGACTTAAGTCAGGGCTTTTCAACCTTTTCACCCATTTTACCACTTTTAGGATATAGCAATATCCGAGTGCCACCAGTTGCCTAGCAAGGTGTCAAAAACTTGATGACCAAAAAAAAAAAAAAAGGAAAAAAGTGATAAAGTACAGATAGTCCTCGACTTACAACAGTTTGCTTAGTGACTGTTCAAAGTTACAATGGCACTGAAAAAAGTGTACTCCAAGCTACAGCTGAGCAAGACACCTACCTGCCCACCTGGCGGTGCTCTTCCTCCTGTCCGAGGTTTTCATTGTTGTGAGCATTTTTGTTGAGGATTGGCAGCGGGGGTGGGGTGGGGGGGTGTTTGGTTTTTATTCCCCCGTCTGCTGGGTGGTTGCAGCAGGTTTGGGTCACTTCACATGACCCTGGGACGCTGTGACCGTCATAAATATGAATCAGTTGCCAAGCATCTGAATGTAAATCACAAGACCCTAGAGATGCTGCAACATTCCAGCTGATCAGCACTTCTTCTGGGCTCAGCAGAAGCGCCAGGATCAGCACTGGGCTCCAGCTGGAGCCTGGCACTGATCCTAGGGCTTCCACTCCCTGTAGCTCCAGCCATCTCTTGCTCAGGCTTGTGCCGTGCTGCCACAAGTTCAGCTCATTCCCCTCCTACCACTTTTCTAGGATGGTCGCGTACCACCTGCCAGGTGCCAATGTACCACAGCTGGTACCCATACCACTGGTTGAAAAGCTCTGACTTAAGTAGTTAAAACCACTTCACATTTGCCCAAGTAACACCACTATTGTGAGAGCTACACTAATAAATTGGTTTTTAAGTGCAATTCAAGCTGCTGGTTGTCCTCTTGTAATCCCTGCATGGCTCAGGGACTAATTATTTGTAGGATCATGTTTTCCCAATGCTTTCTTTTTTGTGCAATGCAATCTAGTAGGGGTTTGAGTCCTTTGAGCCCCAACTTTGAAGAACTGTTGTCACCAGGAGCATGAGGGTGTGTTTTTCCAGTTACCACTCATCCTCTTCAAAAGAACACTCCACTCAAGATCAGATCAGACCAATCCTGATGGCCCTGGCTGTTCCAGAGAGACTTTGGGGATCACTGACAGGTGGATCTCATCTTTGCATTTGGCTATGGATCTTGTTGTGGTAGTTCTCCCTCAATGTGAAGACACAGGAGAAGGTTTTATGTTATTGGTTTTTATTTTATCCTTTATATTCTTTGTAAGCTGCTTACAGCCTATTTTGGAATAGAGGGGTATATAAATTTCAGAAATAAGCTGAGCTACAGATGGGTATTTGTGAATCAAATTGTACTTTTGTCCTACATTTTTACACTAGTACTCCATTTTTCTGCATTGATAGGAACCATTGATAGGAGGTAGAGGCTAGGCTAGCTTAGATGCAAAAGAAGCTACTTCAGTAAATGAAGTGGTCCTGCCTTCCCATACAAATCTACTTTACTTTCTACCATATGTCTTGTTTCCAAAACTTCTGAACAGAGTGATCTATGCTCCTTACAATATCATACTTGTAAAGCTGGACTGATTCGCAACAAATACATGAACTGTACATTTGCCAAAGTATTTTTGTTAACCCACCAAACTGAAAGGGATCCATTTGCTGTTATGACTTAATCACACAGAACAGGACAATAAGCTCATTTGACCTTGGGAAGGTATAAAAATCACAGGGAAGAAGGGGGAAAAATTATCATTTTAGAATCCATCCTTAGTAAATTTCTTTTCTGACTACATTTGGAATATCCAAGAAACATTTTGATGAAGAATTAACATTTTAGTAAATCACAGAAATAAAAATATATAGGCTTTGTTTCTTTCACATCCTCAGCCATGGATATTTTCACCCAATTTCATCAATATCATTCAGTTAGGAATTTTGGTATATTAAAAACTGTTTGTGTACACTTGCATGCATAATTTATTACACAAACCAAGAATTTTTCATTGGATTTCAGTTTTGTATCTCAGACTTGCTTCAGATGTGTTAGAAGGTAGTGAAAACACCAAGACATTTGAAGAAGAAATAGAAAAAATTACCAACATTAGTAACAATAGCACTTAGACGTATATGCTGCTTCATAGCGCTCTGCAGCCCTCTCTAAGTGATTTACAGAGTCAGCATATTGGCCCCAACAATGTGGGTTCTCGTTTTACTGACCTCAGAAGGATGGAAAGCTGAGTCAACCTTGAGCTGGTCAAGATATTAACACAATATCCTTAGTATCTCATCACTTACTGGCTGAAAACAGAAATGTTTTTCTTTTCTAGAAGCCCTGGAAAAATGTCTGCAGCAGCAGGATGCCCATCGAGACTGATTTGGCAGGTGCCCTTGAAAAACTTTAACTTAATGCTTGGATGGTTTACAATCATTGTGTTCGGATTGAGGGCACCTTATATTCACAGCTAATTGCTGACTTGGCTTTCAATTGAACTCCTTTTCTGAATAAACAAACAAAATCTCCTACTGTGTTTTCCTCCTTGGGCAGTGGAAAACATCTACTTTACTTCTAAAGATTTTGAGAAACAAAACCTCTGAGTCAGACATCAGTAAAGCAGAAAGATCTGATATTTATTTATTTTTAAATTGCATTATAGAGCTGGTTTCTGTATTAAATCAGTCCTGTAGTAAGTCCTTTAAATTTTCAAACATTCTGAAGGATTATATAGCTTTCATAAAACAAATGCTATGCTGCCAGTTCTAATAAAATAATAATCATCCTCTTTGTTTTTGAACAAATGAATTTTGTCAGAGAACTCAGGTAAGACTACTGATGAAACCTTATCAAATCATTTTCAAGTAAGAAATTATTTTAATATTGAAAATGTAAAAAAATCAGAAAGATACCAGGGTTTTACTCAGAATAGCTATACTGAGATGGAATACAGCATTTTTTTAACTCTCTGTCCCCCTGTTGGTTTCATTAGCCACCGTGTGGCAATGTACCTTACCCCAGAATGAAACACTAGCTTGTTCTAAGCAACTTCATACAACTGAATGCTGCAATAATTTATCAATATTGGACCCCTGTCTGGGAGTTGGCATGTAGTCCTGAGACAACTTGAGTGGGCCAACCAGATGGCAATAAGAAACAAGGTAGATAGAGCCTCCAGGTTCTTTCCAAGCCCCTCACCAGCAGTGCCCATAGGAGGTGTCTGTATTTTCTTCTGTGTAGCCAAATAAAGTAACCTGTTTCACTGTGGCTAATTAGAGTATGCATAGAAAAAGAGAGTATAAGGATGAAGTATATATGATGCCTTGTCCATGTATATATGTATGTGTGACAGTATAATCAAGATAGGATCATATATGTTGCCCTTGCATATGCATGTATCTATGCGGTGGTCTAATTAGAATGAGGGTATATATAATCTTGGTGTTTGCAAGTTGTGTATGTATGTCAGAATCTAATCTGGATGAGTGTATATGTATCGTGGCTATTTGTTTCTACTCCCCCCTTTTCTTGTGTCTATAGGTATTAGTATGGACATGTCCACTGTCCATACTGAAGGATGGCCTATGCATGCTCCATTCCAGGTGTAAAGGAGCTTAGAATGGAATTGTCGGAAACATTCTCCCATAGAATCAATCAATCGCACTGAGGGATTGTTCCCTGGATTTTTTTTTCTCCCAGCCCCCAGCCTAATCCAGCCCTTTTTTTAACTTGATCTTTCTTTTCCCAGCTTCTCCCACCCATTAAAATTGCCTCGTCTCTGTTTTACTTTTAGAGAATTACCTACTGACAATAGTCTAAGGTTCCCTTACATAATTTATTTCTAATATTCCATTGAGTTGGAAAAACTAAAAAAGATTTGTTCAAATCAATACCTATGCAAATCTGTGTTTCAATACAAAAAAAAAAAAAAAAAAAGAACTTGGTTCACTTCTAATCAGTGCCAGCCCCATATGTAGTGACACCTGGAGATCTGTTCAGATGGATAATAATGATGCATGCTTCTACGGTAATATTTTTTCTCTCAAGTATTGGTGTTTCTACCACTCTTTTCTTCTTATGCTTTTATATATAGAACAAAAAGGTTCATACATTGCTTTTTCAGCTGCTGTTGAACTCCATCAGCATGGCCATTACTACCGGTAGCTGTTCCAATACCTGGAAATTTACACTTGGTTTATTCATGTTATAAGGGGGCTTCTGGTTTGGCATATATTAGTTCAGCAAACAACAGAACCATTTACTACTTGTACTAAATACAGTGGAACACACTAATGTCACTGATGATACATATCTGTGTGGTTGATACAGAGCTTTATGGGAGAGATAAATTATATGTTGTAATGAAATGGACCTCAAATGTAATAAAACTAAAATAAAATCAAAAGTGGAACCATTGGAAGGCATAACAAAGACACTCATTATTTAGGGCACAATTGTTCTTGTACTGGCTTGTCTTCCCAATCAATTGTTCCTTTCAAGTGGCCATATTTTATTAGTTCCTTATTACATTGAAGGTATTATCCTGTCACAGTTTTCCCATCTAGCACCCAATGCATACATTTCCTTTTCTCTCTGAAGATTAACAGAACAACTTTCAAACAGACATAGAAATAACTGATCCACATTCCTCTTTTTGTCACTGGGAGAACATAAACAGAAATAATGAGAATTCTTGAAACAGTGGGAAGAATTGGGCTTGTGACCTCTATTACAGCAAAAGTGCTGCATTTTCAATATGATCATCTATTCTAGCCCATCAACCTACTAAGAATCCTACTGCTTGGAGTACTTTCTGCAAGCATCATAATTACAATGCTGGCAACAACTTTAACTGCTATATCTCACACGCCATGACTATATTATCCCCTTTCTACTCTCTTCCTAGAGAGCCAATGTAGTGAAGGTGCTGGCCTAGAAACCAAAACACCATGAATTCTTGTCCCACCTTAGGCACGAAAGCTGGCTGGGTGACCTTGGGCCAATCACGCTCTCTCAGCCCAGCCTACCTCACAGAGTTGTTGTGGGGAAAATAGGAGAAAGGAGTATTAGATATTTTTGCCCACTTATATATAAAAAGGCAAGATAAAAATATAATAATAGTAAGGAATATTATAATTATTAGCAATAACAATGTTGTCACACTTAAAAATGGTAGCTTCCGTGCTCACAATTAAGTTTTCCAGCATGCTATTTCCTCCCCCCTCCCCAATATTTGCCCAGATGATCTCTGGAAGAAAGTACATATTAAAAAAAATCACCCTTGGTTCTGCATGCCCGACCTTTTGTGTTCCAGCAGATGTTCTTGGCTTATTTTGGAGGTTACCTGCAAACTCTATCAGAATATATAGGAGAAATTTCAAAAAGACTTGCAGCACTTTGCTTTCAAATTCAAATTGAAACTGTTATAAAATGCTATCTCTACAATTCCTTGTTAGTGGCAGGCTGGTTTTCTAAAAAGCTGTCTAATTATAAACAGCCTACACTAGACTTAATCTGGTACCCTCCCTCCCTATCCTCACATCCAGAGTAAAAGAGTGATACCCTTGCATTGTAATCTAAAATGATAGAATTTCATTCTACATCATGAATAGGCCAACTTATACAAACTGAGTTTTATTCCACTTTATATCAGAAGATATTTCTTACAGTTACCAAATTCTCATACTATGAGAATTGTAACAAAACAAAACAAAATAAAAAAATCCAACCTCATAGAAATAGTAACTACTAGAAGGAAGAAAATGTGCACACAGCACCCTTGCAGCAAAGCAAAACAACAACAGAAACAACAAGAAAAGATTCATTTAGGCTCTTACTTTAGAAAAATCTACAGGCCAATTTCTCCTTATCAGCCTCACTTTATAAATTACATTTATTACTGTATATTTACATTTCTGCATTAAGGCTTTTGGTTTTGAAAAAGCCAAGTTATAGTGCTTGAACACACGCACACATTTTTATAACTTATGAGTCATGGCATTTAATTTTCTTCATCGGCATTAGTAGGTATTTATTTACAATAATGCTTTATAGCTTATCTAGCACTAGATAAATTTCATATTGCAAAATCTCTGCTAAGCAGAAACAGTGTGTGTTCATTTGCATTTAAATTTACTTTGAAAATAGTGAAATTCTGCCACCCTATGGACGGCACAAAATCAAGCAATGCTTCCTATGCTGGCTTTCAAATTATTTGGAAAAGAAGTCATTCTTAATGGATATAGAATATAAGGCTTTATAGAAATATAGCTGGCGATACTAAGACATAGGTTTAAAAAAAATAATTGCAGCTTTCCAAACAATGACTAAACAAACCATATTGTTTTTACATTTCTAATATGTCATCACTAACACTTTTATTATTCACACAATAAAAATCATAAAGCAAGAACATGTATCCTGTTTACATTTCTTTTACTGATTAACGAACACTTGAGTGCAGGTGTAAGAACAACCATTATGTGAAGTTCCCATTATTGCTGAATGCATTTAAAAGAGACAAATAAAAAAAGTGTAAATATTCTAGTTTTATGAGCTGTACCAACTATCATGAAGAGCTTATTTAATCCTAAGAAAAATCCTATTCTACATATAAGGCATAGGTGTCTGTTTTTAATCATGATGGCATTAAAATGATGAAATATGTTCAATAACATAATACGAGCTAGACTCTTTTAACTTTGCAACTTGATGGTGTAGACAAGAATGTAAGGGCAGGTCACAGCACACACTGCATTCCTTGCCCCCCTCCTATTCCTAGGGATGCCTAAGATAAGGACATACTTAATAACCAAATTATCCACAATGGACTTCAGAAGGGGAGGGCTATCCCCAAGTTTACTGAGATGCTTTTCACCATGTCACAGGAATCAGGATAAGCCTCATTTCATTATGCACATGACAACGCAACTTCATTCATATCAATTTTATATACAGAGAACTCAAGTGGGACAAAAACTCAAATCATTTTATACATTTATTTATAATATATGCATGCATTATAGTAAGAAGTCCTTGAGTTTTATAGGAGGAAATCTGAGGAATTAGATAGTACCTTGTCTTGGCCACAAAACCTAATTTTTGCTGTGCCTGAATCAGGTTGCTCAACTGCTTTTGGAGTGCCATATCTTTACCATGGGCCTGTCGTATGAAGGGATGTTCTAAAAGATGAGTGACTGATGGACGTTTTTCAAAATCCTTAATTAGACACCTGAAAAATACAGTAATCAGATTATTCAGATAGATACACATAGCTCTGGTATAAATTTTTACCACCTGCCTAGTTATATACTTAATTCTGGGTCTTAGGTAATTTTTGAATTTGGCTTCAGCTATATATTGGACTGTCTTGTATGCGAGAATAAATCTGACCTTCATCCTGATAATATCATTAAAGTTAGCATATTTCAACACTAAATGTGAAAGTGCAAATCTGCTAATTAATTGACTTTAATGGACAGCACATTCATTTTCTCTACAATAATAGTTTATCCTGACTTTGCAAATCCTCACATTTATTTATTTTTTTAAAAAAATTATATAGCCACTTTTCTCATACCAAACTCTGGACCTTCTTCATACTTAATGTAATTAAACTGAATTTATCAATATTGGTTATGAAAAAAAAATAACTTACCTGGATAGTTGGGCAACAAAAACAATCCATTTCAAAAGTTCAACAAATGATCAGTATTAAGTGTAAATGTACAGTGTTCTACCTTTACATATCATCTAAATAATATACAGTATTAATGACAAAAGGCAAAAGATACATCACCAAGCTCAGCCTCAATCATTGTTAAAGAATATAAACACATAATTCCTACAATTATCCATCAGTAATGTCTGTCGGTCTGAGGAACTTCCATATTTTTTATTTCCTCAAAAAAAAAATCAATTTCAAAGCTCTTCTGAAAATTTCAAGAACAAACCGCCTGGGAAATGATGTCTTTTACAAATGCTCATGAGATACTGCTTCTCTTGGACCTGGAGCTTCCTGATATAAAAACTAAAACAATAAAACCTACTATCTAAAATCTAGCCACCTCCACAGAGATTTAAATACCACTCACAGCCTCCAATAAAAATAAATCCATCATTTGGTTTGTATGGTTCTGGTTCCTTTTATTTCTCTACTCATGTTTTTTTTTTATTTGTATGTCACTGTTTCAGTATTTTTTTTAAAAAAATGCTCATCAGTCTCTAGAAATATATAACCTCTCTCATAGAAAATCTGGTAAAATTAGAATATGTCAAAGCAAAATAAAAAAGTATAAACTGTTTTAAAATGCTTTGTTTATAATGAAATTATTGATGGTTCAAAGCAGATCTTTAAAAGTAAACTGAATTAATTAGAAAAATGTTGTTATATACATTTACCATGACTCACCTCTGTAAACTGGCTGGAATTCCAAGGCTCACTCTGCTTTGGAAACGCTTCCAGCCTGTGATTCTGTGATGGAAAGGAAAGAATCTCTATATATCCTGTTGCCTTTCCTTCATCATCCAAAGAACTCCCTCTAGTGGGACCCTCGGGATGAGTTTTTTCTGCCATCCCCTGTTAGGAACATCATTCCCCCTGAACTGGGATTAGCCCTAATCCTAGTGGCTTTCCAGAAATCTCTTAAAACATGCCTTTTTTTTAGCACACTAGGGGATCCTTGAGTTTTAGGGAGTCTGCAAGATGATTCTGCTATATGTGATATCTTGGAGCATTCTCTCATGATCTTATTTATATTTTATATCAATTGTTTGTCATGGTTATTTAAGATTTGTTTTAATTATTAGCTTTATTGTATGCCATGCAGAGTCACGTCAGAGAGATCGGTGGATATGTAAAATGAAAAAAATAAATAGTTCATGTCTCAGTCCACATGTAGAACAATCCTTTTGTCACAACTATATGAGTAATCATTTGATGGGGATTGCAACTTTCTGGCAGTAATCCACTAGCCAGCCCTAGTTGCACACAAGAGATAAATATCAAAATCAGTGGATCCAGAGAAACTTTTATGGCTTAGAGAAATAGGAAAAACTTACGGGAAAACTCTAAAAATACCCCCCCCCCCCCGGACTAAACAGAACTGGATAGAGTCACTCCAGAAATCTGACTCTTAGAAGGAGGATCCAGAAGGAATGCAAATGAAAGGGAGAATCCCGAAAAAAGAAAAGGGATAGCTAGCTAGCTAGTTGGCATAATAAATTTGCTCTGATAGGTCTGATTTCTTTATTGCATAAACAAATACACATCTTAGGTGCCCACATGACAAAGATAACCAACTAGGAGTGGTTATTGCCATTATGATTAATTGTCGCTATTGTGTAGTTGTCTTGCTGTCAAGCGCTTGGGAAATCAGGAGATTCAGGCAGTTCAAATGAGTATAAAGATTTGTTGAAAGCTTAAACTCTCTATAAGAATCTGGCCAACTGACTGTTAAGGGAAATGCGGGAAAGATAAGAGAGGCATTCAAAGTGGGCTGGACTTAGATCTCTTGCAGATGTGAAGGGACTCATGACTTTTACTTATCCCTCAGGCTCAGCCTGGTCATCTCCTACACTTGTCTCCTGAATATAGTTGGTAACGACTAGTGGAATAAAATCTGCAGGGACTTCTTTACCTTTTTTTACCTGAATATAAAACTAGCAGCCTGCCTTTCCAATTCCCATTAAATAACCAGTTTTTGTACAGACCTGAAATTGCCCATTTTAAAATGATGGAATCCTTGCTTCTAAAAAGGGGCAAGAAGCTTCCTCATGCTTATTAGTCATGCAAGAAAAAGAATATTATAACTAGCAAGGTTGACTCAGCCTTCCATCCTTCCGGGGTAGGTAAAATGAGGACCCAGATTGTTGGGGGCAATGTAAATATATATATATACATTGCTTACTGGTGTACACCGCTTAGAGAGTGCTTGCACTTAAAGCGGTATATAAGTCTCATAAATAAATAAATAAATAGCTGTCACAACTTACATGGTGAAATGGTTTATTAACTAGCAGCTGCATAACTGAATAACCGCAATATAAAAAGCAAAAATAAGCAAATCAAGTCCCTGAATAGAGCTCATTAGATTTCAAGGAACATAGTTCCAGGACATTTTCCCACTGATAGATCACCAACATTCTGATGTGGCATAGTGCAGGACAATTTTCATGATATGCTCTAGCGTTTATATACGCTGGCTATTAGTTATCTGGTTAAAAGTTAGGCTCCGCCCCCTTTGTCTCAAAATATGTTGGACTTTAAAAAAAAAGAAAATAATGGATTATTTTAATTTAAGGAAACTACTTTGCTGTTATCATGGACATCAGAAATATGATTAATATGACATTAAAACTATGATTAGAATGAGATTCAGCGAAACAGCAACGTACTCTGGAGCCAAACTACCTTTACACAGAACCACTGAACTTAGTCAGACTTGCCCAACTAAGTGCACATATGAACAATCAGTCTGAGAACCTCTGTGACAAGTTCAGATGTGCCCACCATCCCAAATGCCTTCATTAAGTGCATATGTTGTTTGTGAGACTGCCTCTCCCTTAGAGGAGGCAAGCTCCAAGTCCCTTCCGAGTGTTCCTGTATTCCTCTACTGTCTGTTTCCATAGAGATTAATATTAAAAACCAGTTCTAGCTTGGATACATATCCCAATAAAAAGCACAAAAAACTATCCCTTTTCCCAACGATTTGAACATAGTTCTCCCACTAGAACTAACCACTTAAGAACCATATATTAGAATTCATAATTGATGGCTAACATCTCAGTACAAAATGTGCACCTATTAGCTTACTTCTAAGATTCTTTTGGATGGGCCAGGAATTAAGGGTTATTTCAGGGACCTTTTTGTTTATTTTTTGGCTTACTGGAAGCTGCTCGGAGTTGTAATATGCAAGCTGGGCAGCTGCATCATTTTTTTATAATAATAAATAAAATACTTTGTTTCTTGGTGTATATGCTTGCCAATCTGCACAGAGGTTCTGAAAGGCCCATGATTTGTATGTCCATGAATCAAGGCTTATACAAATCAAAGAAACATGGGAAATTGTGGTTTTCACTGTTATTTCTTATACACGTTTTCTAAAGCAAGGGAAAAGTGCAAGGAACAGCAGTTCTATGTTGTTCTCCCAAGTTCTTTGACAAGAGCCAAATGCATAGTTTCTCATCATCGATTTTCCCGCCTATGTAGTCCTCTTCCACAGAATTTAGGGGAGATCATTACAGTGAGGGTAAACCCCAGTTTTCTAGTTTTATTTAATTCATTCCCATTGCAGTGAAATTGTTGGAAACTTTCTGTGGAGTCCATCTTGCTGTCACAGGCTAAGGAACTCTGAAATAAAGGAAACTTGTTTCTTTCTGCTTGAATTCTGCAGCACATTTCAGTGACACGAAATAACTTGGCTTGGAAAGCAGTATTTGCCACTCACAGCTCTATGTTTCCTACTAAAGTACAAGGGCACCAATCTCTGCTTGTCGTAACATAGACTTATTTCCCTCATAAAGCTACTTTGGGTTTGGAGTAGCTTATATGTTGCAGGGAGATAGTTGTATCTTTGCCAAAAGTATTACCCTCAAGATAACAGAATAACAGAAAGGGACCTTGACGGTCTTCTAGTCTAACCTCTTGCCCCATAAAGACAATTTATGTGGGAGGGTTTAATGGAATTTCTGAGGAAAATGTAGAATATCAAGACTTATGATTCCAAACTTTTTCTCTGTTTATGGCATTTCATCAGAGAATAATCACTTAAGGACAAAATAATAGTCCTGTTCAAATCAAAAATCCATTTAGACTATAATCTTCTTTCACACAAAAACTGCATTGTAAGGCAATATTTTCTCCTCTAACTCAATTAATATTCAAAGGCATTCTGTTCCATGGCCCATCCAAGAAAGCCTAATTAATCCAGTACACATTGTTACACAACAGTTCGCATATTGCTATTCATATACTGTACAGCAGATCCAACAAGACTTCAAAAATATACCCTCATTCCCTAACAAATGTCCTTCTCCAGGTTCTAGCTATATAATCTATACCAGAGATCCCCAACCTTTTGGGCACCAGGGACCGGTTCCATGGAGAAAGATTTTTCTGCGGACTGGAGAGTGCACGGTTTTGCATGCTGCCTGCATCCCACGGATGGGGCTTTGCTTGTTTGTGTGGACCAGTTGCTGGCATGCTGTGGCCTGGCACCGGTCCACAAACCGGATGGTAATAGATCAGGAAAAATCCATTCATAAGTTGATTGAGCCAAGTTCCTTTTCAGTAAATACAAGGGCTAAGTTGCTGTCACACACGCCTAAAGTTGCAAGAAAGGGAAGAAGCAAGAAAGGGATACTCCAAATCAGGAAATATAAGAAAATAACGATGGAAGGGGAAAAAACTATGCCATACTTCCTATCCTGATTTGGTGTTACCTTCATCAACGGAAGACCTCAAAAACCTTTTATTCTGATATATATTACTGATTCTGTCTGTGGTGCCTTTTATGTATGGGAGGAGGGCTTTGCCGTTTTCTTGTTCTTTGTCTTGGATTTTAGTGGGGGTTTCTTTTTGGATTAGGTTTGTAATCTTATTTCTATGGAATCCATTGGATGTTAGTACATTGGTGAGAGTGTGTAGTTCGGGTTTTAGGTGTTGTTCGTCAGCTAAGCGTTTTGTTCTGGAGATGAGTGTCTTGGCTACAGAGTTGATCTGTGCTGGGTGGTGGTGTGAGAGAGCGTGCAGATAGCGGTTTGTGTGTGTTTTCTTCTGGTAGATGGTGTGTCCTAGGGATACAGAATCAGTAAGATCCTCCATAAACACAACATCAAAACAGCATTCTGCACAAACAGAAAAATATCCACCATCCTTAGAAACCCCAAAGATAAAATTGAATTAGAAAATCAAGGAGTATACGAAATCCCATGCACCACTTGTCCCACCACATACATCGGACAAACCAACAGAAGAATAAGTGCACGCATTGAAGAACATAAGAACTCAGTCAAAAAAGAGGAACCAACATCTTCCCTGGTCCAACACCTTAAAGCCACAGGACATGAAATTGACTTTAAAAATACCAGAACCATTGCCAAAAGTGAACATTTTAATAACAGAATAATCAGAGAAGCCATCGAGATAGAAAAACGCCCACACAGCATGAACAAGCGAGATGATACCTCCCGCCTACCAGCCATTTGGAAACCCGCCCTTATTGACAAACGACTCCCTAACACAAAAAATGATACCAGACCCACACTCACAAAAACCACACAGGATGTCACCACCACACATCCACGCAAAAAACAAACCCAAAGCCACACCGATGACAAGGCACGACCACAAACCAGAAGCCAGACCACAGCTGCATCATTAGCCACTTTAAACCCCTCCAATCCATACATGAAGCAAACTGACACCCTCCATGAAGAGGAGGCACGACCATGAACGCAAAGCCAAGGAATAGC